TGTAGTGGTTGTGGTGCTTTGAGTAACCAATTGTGGATGCATTATTACACAGCAAGATTTCATGAAATCTTGCTGTGTAATAATGCATCCACAATTAGTTTTTAGTAATGTTGCTTCCAAATCTCAAACTCTGTTTTATACAGTTAAAAAGTGTAAAAGAAAAGGTTTGTTTTACATTTTGTTAAACAATATATGTGACATAGTGGTGGGCTTAATACCATATGGCCATGTGGTGTAACTGAATCCCCACGTTTGTTTGCCAAGAAAGGTGATTTTAAGTAGCCTAAAATGTGTAAAATTTAAATATATATTTTTTGTGTGGGTGTGCTGTTCCTTTAACTGTATTTTGTATACAGATGTAATTTGTTTCTCATAGGGAAAAGTCACTAAGAAGTGACATATAAATGAATATCACCAGAGAGTAAAGAGAAAATATTAAGAGAAACAAAAATGCAAAATAACTAAAAATACATTGGTAACTACTAAACAGTGAGTACCATTGATGAGAAGTGTTAGAAGCAGACTGTAGGGACTGGTGGTCACCCAGGTCAATGGTTTGGAGGTATGTAAACGCCACTGATAAATCATCAATCCTGTGCTCATTTCCATCCTGGCTTGCAAGGAGTGTGAAATGCCCCAACTGTCGTGTATTCCAGATTGCAGATGAGTGATGGGTCTGAAAGACTTGTACCAGTAAAGTGTAGCCTGACTGAGATAGTCATAAAATGATAGGCTTGAGTTCTCAAACACAAGTGGTTACTTCCCTTGGACCGCAGTCAATACAGTATGATTGTCACCCAGAGATTATCCCTGGGAGATATATCCGTCAATCGGGGTGAAAAGCGTAGTAGCATCAGTTCTTCTAAGTCCACTGCCTAAATTGCCTAGGAGCAACAGTGTATAAAAAAAAAAGCGTACATATTGGGGAAGTTTCACAGCATTTATGGAATCCATAATATAGACTTATAGGTTTATATCTAAAACGTGATTTTATATATCTATATCTCCTTCTAAAGGCAATGCACTGAATATGTGTCAAGATACCATCTGAAAATAAGTACTAGTGGTTTTGCACTGTTGCAAATTATACACATGGCATGCCAATATGCAAGCTGTGAGCATCATTTCGGGGCCAGGCACCTCTATTTGCATCAGTTGTCCATTTTCGTTTTTGCTACCCCTAAGCAGCAGACATGTTGCGTAAGTATATTGCGCTAAAAAAGAGGCGCCCCAGGCGGAAGACGACCCCTTTTATAGAGAATATGACATTTTGTAGAAATGTGTTTATGAATGTCACTCTTTTGCTGCTAATTCTCCAGTATCTTCAGTCACTAGGAATTGGTATTTATAGTTCCGCTGCCATGTTATTGTCGGTAAGTTCCTATTAATTTTCTAAATAGTTTGAAAGCATTCGCTGCTGTACCCAGCTCACCCAGGCAGTGTGCTTCCATCGGCCTCTTGCATGTCCAATAACCATATTTCTTTATGTTTGCATATAACCATACAAAGAGAGGGAAAGCTTGGCATGAGTGAGTATGTAAATATATGTGGCACAGCAAAAATGAAGACCTTGACTCGTGAGCATTTAACAAGCTCAATGAAGACACCATACTGTACTAAAAGAAAAAAAAAGTGTTTAAATTCTGCTATTCTAGTCAAAAGCCTACTAAATAAAGCCACCAACATACATAGACCCGTGAAATAAATAATCACATTGCTCTGTGCAAATACACATACCTCTAATAATCTGCCTGTTTTAAACTGCTGCTAAATACTACTCTTAGTTTTTTGACCTTTTTACTGCTTCCAAACCTTCTTTATTGGGGCACTGCATTTATATCTTGTCGACTTATTTTCTCTGTCAGTTTCTCCTTTTCAGTCAATTTCTCCTTGTCAGTAATTACTAATCCAAATTTTGTATACCTCTTGATTCCATTCTACACACAAATAAAATAACATCCTTTGGTTTCCAGTACTCACACATATGAGCTGATGATCCCTCCCATTCCCTCTAGGATTATATCACCAGCTATCTTTACTCGGACTAGAACAGGATGACTGTTTGCTTCCTGAAATTCTATCTAACCAAAAGACAAATACATAGTTTTCCGACTTCTATCACAAGCACTGTTTGGTTGGTCTCCCTTAGAGTCAACAGTGATACCATCATCTCTATTCTAAAGGATTGCCGCCTTGGCAACCCTCCGGACTCTGACCTTGTACTCTTTAGATCGGGGTAATCAACCTTTTAATACCTACCACCCACTTTTGTATCTTTGTTGATGGTAAAATGTCCTTACCACCCACCAATGTCGCAGTACCTAATTTTATAGTGCAAGTATGATTATTTTTTTTTAGAAAGGAGAAATATGTACTTCTATTCTACTATCTATTTTTTTTCTATTTTCTATTCTTTTTTTTTCTATGTGTGAAGGGTGTAGTGTGTGTTTTGAGAGGTGCAGTATGTGGGGTAGTAGGGACTTATAGTCCCCCCCCCCCCACTCCTTATATGCTAGGGAACATAGTATCCTACTGGGGAAACTGCACGTTTTATTTCTACCTAATGGGGCAATAATCCTTTTTGCATCCATTTAGATTTTTGCCTGCTATTCCCAGATACTACCCTACATATTTTACAATATTCTAGTTTTTTTTTTTAAATGGACGTAGTTTGTTTATTTACCTCCTGCTCACTATACTCTGCTTTGTATAGTCACATATCTCTAGCCCTTGTATATAAATAGTACTCAAGGAAATTCTACTCTTCCTATCTACATATCATTCATTTTCCTTGGTACAGCTATCTACTCTCATCCATATTTATGTTCGGCTTTTTTTTTTTTTTAAGCCATTATATCTTTTGAGTAGTCACCTCTTTAGATCCACCTGACCTTAAATGTATCTTACATGATGCATTTTTAGCTCTAACAGATATATAGATACATGCAAAGATACCTTACTGCATGTGCACACATATATTTGAACAGCATTTTTCAAACATATACTTTACTTGAAATAGTCAGATGATGGATCTATCACAGTAGGCTCCGTTAGATCCCTCTCTTTTTTTATTCACAAGCACACATTGCACTGATTTTGTTTGTGCACAGTATACACAGGAATTCGTCCTTTTTTCTGTTATACTAATATATGGGGTTATGTCCCCTTTTTTACCCATATAGTCCAACTTTTGACTATCAGGTCAGTAGTTCTCTGACCTCCTAGTCATTTTTCTTTTCGGCATGTTCACTTTAGCCTGCAGCTCCTCCGGCTGCAGGCTTACACTCCTTTCCTCCTGCGAGCACAGCACTGTGTTGCCATGGTAACGTGCGGCAACATTCTGACCAGCCTGCTCGCGGAAGGAACACAGAGCTTCCCAGGCCCTCAACAGCCCGAGAGGGTTTACAGCAAGGCTGGCATTGCATGGGTCCACAGCCAACTAGGCCCACTGGGCGTTTTCTGCAGAACCCACCACCGCCCACCTGAAATCATAAACCGCCCACTAGTGGGCGGTAGGGACAGATTGACTACACATGCTTTAGATCAAGTCAAACTACAAATACAGTCTCTTTCATGTTTTGTGTTTACCTCGGGTAAAACTGTGTTATACCAGTGTACCTTGAAATTACATCAATAAGCTGTTGGTGTTCCCTCATTCTTTTTAGTTTATCTTATTTTCCCCCTCCCCTGTACTCCATCTTTTTCTGTGTTTACCTCCTTATAATGCCAGATCAAAGAAAAGTGCTTCTTCTTACTCTGATTATTTTGCACCTTGATTACAGCAACCCCTTTTCCCTACGTATTATGCCTACGCCTGGATTACTATTGTATAGTTTGTAATGACTGCAGCTGCCAAGGTCATCAGCCTAATCTTCCAGTTTTCTAATTTCTCACAAATTTGACAAACTTTATAACTTATAGGTAGCCAATGTAATTTGATTTTAAATCTCATATAGAAAAGTTCCTCATAGCTATGCATCAGTTTATACAATTCCACCTCTCCCTGTCGGTATTCACATAACAGACCCCTGCCTCTTACTGTACTGTTCCTGTGGAATGCCACATTTTATCCCATTATACTGTCCACAGCCCTTCTTGAGATTTCTAAAAACACACTTCTTAAGGGAAGATTACCTTTCACTTACCAATTTACTAATTTCACTACAGCAATCTTTAGTAACCCTGTTTCACTTTATGCTCTACATTTCATATAAATTCATGGATAATGTGCTTTTGTGTAAGTATATCAAAACATTCTTTGTACTGTAAGCTAATTTATTTTTACCAAGGCCAACAAGCTCAGTGTATGCTAAACATCTATCACAGTTACTAGATCATGTAAATCCCCTGGTACTGCAGAATATATTTAAATTAACTACAGAAAAAGAAAGAGTAAGAATTGTCAAATAAATGGTCAGGACAGTAACTGTAGGGGCAGGTGGTGGGGACATGGACAGAAGAAATGCAGAACATCCTTGTGTATTAAATTCTAACAATAAGGTAATTATTTTGATCTCTGATTTTAACAAAATAAAAGTCTTTTTTTTTTTCCTTCTAATCTAGATATTTATATTGACCCAGAAACTTTTACAAAACAGGCACATTCTCTAAAAGAAACAGAATTAAATGATCAAATGAGAGAGAGAAGGCAGACAGAGAGACATCCCATCTCATTTATCAATCTTTTCAGTAAAATAGTATGAAAAGTTGCTGGCCATGTGTTTAGTCTGGTGGGTGTGATGGTTTTTAGTTAAAAGTTTTAAAGAGGCAACTAGAGTTAGATTTGGATGGCAAGGGATGAAGAACATGCTCATTTGGCACAGAAAGGACTGACCTGGAGAAATGCAGCCTGCGTTTACAGAGTTAGAAAACAGATGTTATAGGGTTCTCTTGCTTTTATGCTTAGATGTTCAGCAACACATTTTGAGGTAATGTTCTTTTTAAAAAAAAAATTTTTTTTAACCATTTTATTAAGAAACAGAGGCTCTTAACTTGCTGTTATCTTTTCTTATATCCCTCTACAGCAAAGAAAAACATAAGAGAAAATCATGAAGAAATTAAACATTACACATAGTAACACAACTATCAATCATAAATAAGTACAATTCATAAAAGGTGTAAGACATCCCAAGCACGTCCTCTTTCTTTGCTGCTCCCTCAGACCAGCTAAGTATTCCATATTGTTCAACATTGTTTTCTGCACAATCATATTTATAGGCTCTGGTTTATTGTTTATATTCCCTGATTGCTTTAGTGTGTTTCCCTTCTATTTCTGTCCTTTCTTCTGCCTCTGGGTGGAGAGCACCCCCACGCCCCATTTGGGTTCACGTTGCCACTTGGCACATTAGTTTGGGCTGTTCAGGCTCCCTCTCTCTTGGAGGCAGGCTTTTTTCCCCTTCCTGCAGACCTTATCTTGGTCACCAACGTGGGCTGTGGCTCTCTGGACCATTTTGTGATGCCATGCCTGCGCTTTCACTTACAGTGGACAGGTCTACGATGACTGATCTTGCCTGTGATCAAGCCCTTTACACACACAGCTTTCTGGCAAACCTGTCCCTGAGGCAGTTACAACTCACACTGGAGTGTATGGTGGTCTTGTGAATGGACATGAAAAACCCAGAAGACCTCTGTCATGCACATTCTGTGGAGAGGGAGCCCAAGAGCACATTGCTCAATACTCGGTGTCACGAACGTACCCTACTCCAAGAGTGTGCGTGACTTCGTTCTGGTGGCGAAGGGGTTAAACTTCACTATTTATCTGCACTAAATTGGAAATAATGATAAAAATCTTCCTTAACACCACCCACACTTATCCATAATAATATAAATATTACTATTTTAACACTGCCACCACCAAGACAATTTATAAATGGGGTGCCTTGGTCCCTCAAGTAAATCAGAATAAAACCCTACCAAATACAATTTAGCACAATACCTATGCTATTGCAAAAGACTCGTGAATTTGTCTCTTTAGGTAACCAGACAAAGGCAGAACTTAATAAAGGAATATTTATTATGAATAAAAATATAGATGACAATCAGATTAGTTACACCAACAACAGATTAAAAACAAAAAGGATAAATTAACAAGTCCTACACACTTTGGTTTTAAAAGTAAAACTTCTGCCCAGGGGTTCTCCGGCAAAGAAAGATGGTGACTAACTCAAAATTGGATTTTGGTCCCAAGCAAGTACAATATACATTTACACAACATTGGATATTTACTCTCTGGATTCATCTCAGACAAGTTTCCATGTCTGGCCAAGGGGTGGAGATAAGGTTTACCTAAAGAAACTTATAGTAATCAATCACTCATAGTAATCAATAAGTGATTACCCCCTTTTGTTCCAGACCAACATCAATCCAAATAGAACCAACAGTTTCTATCTCCTCTTTTGTACTTGCCACAGAAGTAATAATTGCATCTAGGAATTTGTTACCATTTTCCCATTCCATAAATATGTCACACTTATTACTTGTAACCTAATATAGCAGACATCACAATTCCTTATTAAAGATAATAAAAAAAAATTAATCTATGGGTAAGTATTAACGTTTCTTTTGGATATGATATTGGAGCACAAGGGTTTTCTTAAAGGACCACTATAGTGCCAGGAAAACATACTCGTTTTCCTGGCACTATAGTGCCCTGAGGGTGCCCCCACCCTCAGGGACCCCCTCCCGCCGGGCTCTGGGGAGAGGAAGGGGTTAAAATCGTACCTTTCTCCATCGCTGGGCGAGGAGCTCTCCTCCACCTCTCCGCCTCCTCTTCGGCTGAATGCTCATGCGCGGCAGGAGCTGCGGGCGAATTCAGCCAGTCTCATAGGAAAGCATTCATAATGCTTTCCTATGGACGCTTGCGTCTCTCACTGTGATTTTCACAGTGAGAAGCACGCAAACGCCTCTAGCGGCTGTCAATGAGACAGCCACTAGAGGCTTTAGAGGCTGGATTAACCTATTTATAAACACAGCAGTTTCTCTGAAACTGCTATGTTTATAAAAAAAAAAAGGGTTAACCCTAGCTGGACCAGGCACCCAGACCACTTCATTAAGCTGAAGTGGTCTGGGTGCCTATAGTGGTCCTTTAAAAGCTAAAGGCCATTAACATATCAAAGGACTCCCTATCTTGGAAGGGATCTAGACATATGGCAAATTAGAGAGTTTGTTTATATTTAAGGAGACTCAGAGGCAACTCATGTGTGCATTTCACACTTTGCAGAAGCCTTCTTAGATCAAAAGGGTAATTCATGTTGTAAACCATCTGACCTCTATCACATTCCTATATAATTTACAATAACCCATTCTGACATCTGTCCTCTATAATCAAATTGGCCCTTTCACCTCTACCAAGTGGTCAATTCATATATGAACTACACAAATTACATTAAATGGCAATATTCTATAGTGCAATAACAATAATGTATGCACCATTGGTGTGACACTTCCTCCAAATAAAAGATGCAGTGGGAGGAGGCTCATATGCCTCTACCTTGCGTATTAGGTGGAGTCCCCTACGCCGGCACGACAAACCATCAGCGTTGCCATGTGTACTTCCCTTTTTGTGCTGTATGGTAAACTCAAATTGCTGGAGAACTAGGCTCCACCTGAGGAGTTTCCCCATTTGTCCCAGCCACCCTATGTAACCAATGTAGAGGGTTGTGATCGGTAATCACGGTAAACTGGCGCCCATACAGGGTATGGCTGCAGTTTTTGCAAAGCCCAAACTATAGCCAAACACTTTTTTTCTACAGTGGCACAGGCCATTTCCCTAGGTAGCAGTTTCCGGCTGAGATACACAACAGGATGTTCATCCTTCGTCTCATTCACCGGACTCAGCACAACTCCTAGCCCATATTTAGATGCATCAGTCTGTAGTAAGAAACGTTTGCAGAAATTAGGTGCCTGTAGTATGGAAGAATCAGTAAGGGCCTGTTTTAAGGAGTTAAAGGCTACTTCACACTCAGGTGTCTACTTATTCATTTGTGGGAGGAGTTCTTAGTGATATTGGTTAGGAGTTTGGCCAGGGTACTAAAGTGTGGTACAAATCACCTGCTTTTTGGTCTGTGGGGAAGGCCAGACCATTATAGCCTCTACCTTACTGGGCTCTGGGCAAAGTGTCCCCCCTCCCACTTTGTGCCCCAAGTACTGAACCTCTGTCATGCCCAGTTGGCACTTATCTGGTTTTATAGTGAGCCCAGCTGCTGCTACGTGGTCTACAACATTTGTTAAATGGAGTAGATGTTACTCCCAAGTATCACTGAACACTGCAATTTCATCCTGATAAGCTACCGCATGCTCCTCCTGTCCCTCTAGCAGGTGATTAACTAGACATCGGCAGGGGCATTTTCATTCTCAAAGGGCATCACCTGGAACTCGTATAACCCAAAGGGAGTGATAAAGGCTGATCTCTCTTGCGCTTCAGGAATTCATTGGGATCTGCCAGTACCCTCAGCTGAGATTCATAATACTAAAGAATTTAGCCCCAGCTAGTTGGTCTACCAATGCATCAATGTGTAGCATAGGATATGCATAGAATGCAGTTACCATATTCAACCGCTGATAGTCCACGCAGAACATGGTGGTCTTGCCCTTCTTGGGAACTAGCTGTCAGGATTGCGGATTGATCCAGCAAGCAGAATTGTATCACACTAGGACTAGGACCTTAGAATGGCCGGACTTAACGTACCAAAGAATAGTCAGGATAATTGCCGAGGTCGGGAGGCACAGAATGGGACACAACGATAAGGGAAAGCCACAAGTCAGGGATACCAGAACACAGGGAAGTAAAAAAAAGACAAAGTTAAAAAACAGAAATAAACGCTCAGGAACACACTCTCGTACAACCACTAGGGAAACCACGACAGGGCAATGAGGAAAAGTAAATTTGAGCTTAAGTGCTTTACAGCTCTGATTGGCTGAAAACGGCCTTTGACCCCAAAACGTGGGCACGTCTCCCACGTGACGTCATCAACGTGGGCAGACGTGGGGATATAATTTGACGTGGATCCGCAGCGGCTGGCATCCATCAACATGTTGCAAGAGCCAGGGGCTGTGAGACTTCTGGATTACACCCAGCTCCAGCATTTCCTCTATTTCCCTTCTAGTGTCAGCCTTCACCTCCAAGGATACTCTATAGGCAGCCTGTGTGAGGGGATGGTGATCCCCAGTGTCAACATGATGGGTTACTAGGTGTGTTCTGCCAGGCTTCCCTGTGAAAAAACTATAGTAAGGTCTAAGGGCCTCAAATAGCTGACTCCTCTGACCCTCAGTTAGGTGGGCATTAACCTGGGCTACCTCAATGCCCTCTAGATTCCAGGTTGCAGCCAGTAAATCCAGATTCTTGCTCATCCCCAGGCAAACTACATACGGTTAACACAGTGGGCTCCCTGTCATAATATGCTTTCATCATATTTACGTGATACACTTTTTTCCTCTTTCCCCCTTCACCCAGGGATACCACATGGTTCACATCATTGGCCCGCATGCTGCCTGTAATTTGATCTGCCTCATGGGTATCAGCACAAGCACCTTTTGACCCACTTCATACACTCTCTCAGGCATCACGATCATACCACTGCTTCTGCTTGGATTGGGCAGCTCTCAGATTCTCACACATCTCCCCCATTAAAGCCTTCATTTTATCCCTAAACCGGATTACATAATCCAAAAGAGAGTTCTTTGGGATCCCCAACTCTCCTTCCCATCCCTCTCAGATTCTTGCCCATCAGTGGGAATAGTTTCCCTGTATAATCTCTTGTTTTCTCAGTACAATCTATCCCTGTCCCTGTCTGTGAGTGGCTGCCTAGCACATTCTCTCAACACCTCTAATGTAGGATCTGTCTGCTGGGCCTGCTAGAATTCTGGACTCTGCACCTTTGTCTCAGAGTCAACAGGGTGCTCTGAAACGGATTCCTGCACCTGAACTACAAGAGGGGAGGGAGACAAGTTGCTTGACTTCCTGGTTTTCCCATCAGGATGTGGACATGTGCTCTGAGTCTGCAGGCTGAGCCAGCCCCTGCTCCTGATTCTGATAAGACCGCTGCTGGGTTACCACAGCTACAGTTGAAACCTCTGTCCCTCCTGTCTTGGCACACTCTCACATGATATTGCAGACACCTCTAGTTCTGGCACACATGCTCACTCTGCCATCCCTCCCAGCACAATTATCTACATACATCTTTACATGATTCCACTGACACCCCTGGTCCTGTCATAGATTGACACACATTCTTACCTCTCTCCCAGCAAAGTTATCCTGGCAATCTTTCACCTGGTACCCCAGACATCTCTGTCTTGGCAGAGATGGACATGCACAGTCACTCTGCCCTCCCTCCCAGCAAGGTAATCTAGGTAAACATTTACACACTGCCCTCTCCACAGCAGGGCCCCTACAGGACTTGGGTTGCGATCACATATCATTCTCAGGCACATACAAGGATAACAACCTGCCTAAATCAGTACCAAGCAATACATTTGTAGGAATATTATCCGATATTCCCATTCCTCACTCAGAAAATTGGTGTTGCAGGATGTATTCCCCCAATCCCTTTTACGGCTAAAGTTCTGCCAGTGATGAAGTCCTCTGGATGCACAAGAGTAACGTCTGCCCCAGTGTCCCATAGTTACCTTTTCTCCCACTGTAACAGGTTGCAGGTTCACATTGTTGCTGCTCTAGGACTCGGTCACAAACAACATAGAAGATGGGGCTCCTGCTGGCGACCCTCTCCAGATGAGAGTACTGGCCTCCTTTTCTCTGGGCAGGTATTACTAAAGTGCCACATTTTATTGCAAATAAAGCATCTGCGGCTATCTCCATGCGCAGAAGTGGCACTAGCTCATGCTAGGCCTGGTGATAGGGACTCGTGGTGGTGTGGTCTTCCAGCTGGATGCTCCCTTGTCAAACCTTTGCTTCGGTCCACTGTTGCTAGATTGGCAGTGTGGAAATCTGCCAGCTCACCTGCCTCCAATGCGGTTTTGGAGTTTCGGTCCAGCAGCCATTCCTTTACATCAGCTGGGCAGAGCTACAAAAACTGTTCTTTAATGACCAAATCTTCCAAACTTGTTAGGGTTTTAATCTCCAGCCCTCTAGTCCACTGTTGGAATGCTGTCACCAGGTGTTCAACAACTGCTGCAAAACTTTCTGTACACCTCAGGAGTAAGGTTGCAAGGTTGCGCCGGGTTGGGGCCCTAAATAACAAGAGGGGGACCTATTGGCCTCCCCCAACCCCACTTCTAAACGGCGGGTGGAGGGCCCTAAATAACAATAAGGGGGGGACCTATTGTCCTCCCCTCTGGCCCCCACCCATGAGCAGCAGGTGGGTGCCCTAAATGAAAATGTTAACCCCCCCCCAGTTGACTAGAGAGAACAAGAGAACAAAATACCTGTAAAAAAATAAATAAAACTTACCATCTGATGTCTTCTTTTTTGTAAAATCTTATTTTTTCTGCCCCAAAAAAGGCCAAATAAAAATCCATAATACGCGTCGAACTTTGAAAAAAAATTTATTATAAAATCCGAGAGCAAAAATAAGTCTGACGAAAAAAAAACAACCCGACGCTAAAAAAGTAATCCATCTTCAACCATAGAGGGCAAGGCGCAGACTTCCCATGCCCTGCAATTAGGCTCAGAGCGCTCTGATTGGTTGGATTAAGCCAAGCCACGCCTCCAAATTTACCTTTCACAGCACTCTGATTGGTTAGCTTGAAATCCAACCAGACTGTGTCATTTTACACGACATGGGGGAAAGTTCTTTGGAATTTTTCCATGCTGTGTAATTTGACTCATAACTCTCTGATTGGTTGATTAAACCAGTGCTGGGGGGGGGTGGCAAAAGTATAATGGTCCCCCCCACCCGCCACTCAGGGGTGGGGGCAGGGGAGGGGGGACAATAGGTGCCACCCCCATATTGTTATTTAGGCCCCCATCCACCGCTCAGGGGTGGGGGCCAGGGGGGGACAATAGGTTCCCCCCTTATTGTTATTTAGGGCCCCCACCCGCCACTCAGGGGAGGGGGGCGAGGGGGGACAATAGGTCCCTCCCCTATTGTTATTTAGGGCCCCCACCCACCACTCATGGGTGGGGGTGGGGGAATAGGTCCCCCGTTCAGTTTAATAGTCCCCACTCGTGCGGCACGGGTGGGGGCTCGGGAGGGTGAATACTAGAGGTTTTTTTTGTTTTTTTAACTAGACATAGTTGTTTTGTTTACTAGACCAATTTAGGTCCTTCAGCCTTTTGGTAGATAGCTCCCTGATTAGAGATGTCGCGAACTTCAACATGGATGCTGTCCAGGAAGTAGGTTCGCGACATCTCTATCCCTGATACTGTGGTAATCAGGGAGCTATCTACTAAGCGGCTGCAAGATGCATCCACGGCACGAATAGGATCAGAGTTTCATTCATTTGAATGAAATTCCGATACGAACAAAGTCCGGAATTGCGTCCTAACATGAATGGAGAAACTGTTCTCATTCTGTTAGGACGCAATTCGGTAGCGTAGCCGGCAGTCTGTCTAAAATGGCAGGACGTTCGGGAAATGTGAAAGGAGGCTTCGCGGGAACACGGAGGAAAGGTAAGAATTGTGGGGAAATTGCTCTGACCACTGGAAATGAAGTACACTTTGCTACTCCGCTTGTCAGGCGTAGGAAACCTCCATAGGACAAAGTAGTCCCTACTTTGTCTTATGTTTTAAAGAAAACTAGAGAAGACAGGAAGAAATGAAGAACAGATCCTGACAGAGGGAGAGAAGAGGAATCGATTGGGGAAAGGTAAGATCGGCATAACAGTGCGGCTTTAAGCTAACAGGTGTGCAGTTAGTTCTTATGGGCAATTGTATTCTTATAAGACTATAATCTCACTGGATGCAGAGGCCTGGGAAAAGATGACTTGGTGGCTGTCGTACATGGGCACATGGAACAGGAGGGTCATCTTTGGATCCACACCAGACCTGGTCATAGAGTCGGACACAAGCTTGCACGCTGGGAGCGTTGATTGGTTCATTTAACATTTTCTATAAACTGCACATAGTGTTTTTCCTTTTATATGCAATGCTTTGGTTCATAAAAAATAATAAGATAATAATATACCTTATTCGTTTTCCATTGGCTTGTCTTGATTTGTTTATGCCTTTCAATACTTCCTGATATTACTATGTTTTCTTCTCATTTTTATTAGCGATATGACTTTTTTCCCCAACGGTTTATTGGCCTATTTGTTCAGATACTGATCTTGTTTGGCCGTTTCTGTAATTTCTTCAGGTAGCAAAAAAGAGGAAGTGCTTGGGATGTCCTACACCTTTTATGACCTGTAGTTGTTTGTGATTGCTTGCTGTGTTACTATGTATGATGTTTAACTCTTTCATGATTTTTTCTCGTGTGTTTTTCTTTGCTGCTGAGGAAAATAATCAAAGAATAGACTTATACTCACCTCCATGTCATTAATAAAACAACAACTTTACATCATATTAATAGTAAAAACTTGGGGGGGTCATGGGATATCTTGGCATTTACATTAAAGCAGATATTTGGCAATCGTTTAAACAATCGTTTAAAGGACCACTATAGGCACCCAGACCACTTCAGCTTAATGAAGTGGTCTGGGTGCCAGGTCCATCTAGGATTAACCCTTTCTGCTGTAAACATAGCAGTTTCAGAGAAACTGCTATGTCTACATTAGGGTTAATCCAGCCTCTAGTGGCTGTCTCATTGACAGCCGCTAGAGGCAGTCCGCGCTTCTCACTATGATTTTCACACTGAGAAGACGCCAGCGTCCGTAGGAAAGCATTGAGAATGCTTTCCTATGGACTAGCTGAATGCGCGCGCTGCTCTGGCCGCGCCTGCGCATTCAGCCGATGACGGGAAAGGAGACGGAGATTTGAGGGAGCCCGGCGGTGGAGAAAAGGTATGTGTTTAACCCCTTCCTCACAGTAGAACCCAGCGGGAGGGGGACCCTAAGGGTGGGGGGGGGACCTAGAGACCCTATAGTGCCAGGAAAACATCACTATAGTGGTCCTTTAAGGTATTGATTATGAAACAAAATATAACATTGTAAATTTAAGGTGAATTATATCTTGGACTTTAATAATAAATAAAGGTGTACGCTTTGGTAAAGGCTAGATAAGCCGCAAAACAAAAATGGCCAATTCAATTACAGTATGTTCATTAGGCTGTTGATTTGAACTTAAAATATAGTTTATTAGAAATCTAAATAAAATAAGCAAGAAAACAATGTACTGCATTTAAAATATATTTATATTCATACCCATACATCCCTTAAGCTACTTTGCGTCTTGTTCCAGTGTGCCTTATAATTAAAAATAATCAATTTGTAGTATTTAAATTAGTGGAATAGTTCTCTCTTAGCCATGCAGATGATAATTAAATTATGTCCCCTGAAGAACTTCGTTTGCCTGATGAAAAGCTTAGGGTTTGTAATAATACATCTTTTAATTATGTGGTGGTTGGTGGGTAATTTAGAAATATGATCGTAATTTAGAAAATACACAGCGAAGATTTCTTTTCACAGTGCCCAAAGGGAAATGTGGAAAAAAACACATACAACTGATTTGGAAAAAAGAAGCAGAATCATTAAATAGTTTGTTATGGAAAGTAAAGATCCAGATGGATTGATATGCTCACACCAAGTTTGTAGTGGAGCACTGCGTGATCTTCTATGTGACATGCAGAGATACCTCTATATGGAATACATAAATCTTTGGCTTGATCCATAGTAGACTCACGGACTGTTCCACTCTGCACAGGTGTCTGGCCTTGGCTTCTGGTATCCAGTACTCTTTTTACAATTCTATTTAGTTTTTCTTGGTTTTTCTGGTTTTGTAGTCTATGTCTGGTTTTCATTATGCTGGGTTTTCTGGGTTCATTCCTTTATTCCGTTCCTGGAATTCCCAGTCTCATGGATTCCTTTAATTTTATTTTTTGCCACACCCATTCCTTTGCCATTAATCTTTTTTGTTTCAGTCTGTTCCTGCAAGCAGTGGTCTCAATTCCAATGCTCCTTTCTTTGCAGGCAAGTACTGTGTGTGTTTTATGACCCACTGTAATTGGAGTACTTTGGCGCAGTGGTGGGCTGCATACATCTTGGCCATTTATGTATGTCTAAATCTCCAAGGTTTATTACATATATAGTAATAAGTTATGTCTCCTGTTGTTTTGCCTTGCATCTCTTGTCTGGTTTTATTTTGTCCTGTCCATGTTTCCCTCATTTATTGTGTACATGTTCTGGGTTCTGCTTTCTGTCCTGCTCCAGTTCTGGGTTCTTCTAATCTTGTCTTGTTTCCTTGTTTGGTGCCTGTTCCAGTCTTGCCTTGTTTCTAGTACTGGATACATATCTGCTTAATAGCTCCTGGCACCCGCTTTAGCTGCATCAGGGCTCTGGTATGAGGCCGCACAAACCTTGGTGCTCTACACCAGGGAGCGTGTGGTTACCCGGCACCAAACCCGGATTGTCCATTTCCACGCTGAGACTCCTATCATCCTCAACAGGAGTCCCGGTCTTCGGACCGCCACCAGTGACACAGAGTTCTTCAATAACGTGAGAATTGCCAGGACTTGAAAGTGGATTTCCAGTGTAATGCCAAAATAACCACTGAACGCAAAATGGACTTGGAAAAGTTTTAAAACTTCGATATTCACTTTGATAGGGTTATTCACAAAAGTCAGAATTGAGGGGAAGTCAGATGTTAATGCTTCTAAGAGGGATAAACAGGGTTACATAGTTACATAGGATGAATAGAGACATGCTTCCATCAAGTTCAGCCTCTCACATCTGCTTTTGCCGGTTATCCAAAAAAAGAAAAAAAACAACAAATGAGACAAAACAAAACATTCCTTCTTGGGGGCGTGGCCAGACTTGAAATGGAGTAAGTCGCACTCTCCCACAGTTACAAAGCCTCAGCTCACAAAAGCCCCTAAAAACTGCTTAACAACGCCAAAATGGGGAAGTCAAGAATGGTACTTACCCTAGGATCCTCTCACACTGCTTCCCCGAGGCATGCCTCCGGTCCCTTGGATGAAATATTCGCAACGCCACATAGCCAGCAGAGCACCCATGACCCAGGCAAGACCATCCTTGCCTGGATCGGAGAACATGGTAAGTTCTGCACATGGACTAGCCAGTGGTGAGACGCTTACACAAATCTCGGCTAAACTGGCCTTGACATCTGCCAACTTGTTCACTTTCACGGACAAGGCTGAAATGCTGACTGAACTGCGGACGGCGATCCGCAAGGAGATGATGGAGGTACAGAGAGATCTCATGGCCCTAGAGACCAGAGTAGAGGAGTTGGAGACTGACAGACTAATGACAATGCAGAGCCAACAGGAGGCTGATACAGCCACTGCAAGACAGGGATCAGTCCTGCTTGAACTGCGCCAACAGGTTGAGGACCTAGACAACAGGGGTGGGCTCAATAACATAGGCATCAGGGGCCTTCCGAAGACATCAATGAAGTCTCTCCTGGAGATGCTGACCTCCCTAATAGCATAACAGTGCGGCTTTAAGCTAACAGGTGTGCAGTTAGCTCTTATGGGTAATTGTATTCTTATAAGACTATAATCTCACTGGATGCAGAGGCCAGGGAAAAGATGACTTGGTGGCTGTCGTACATGGGCACATGGAACAAGAGGGCCATCTTTGGATCCACACCAGACCTGGTCATAGAGTCGGACGCAAGCTTGCACGCTGGGGGCGTTGATTGGTTCATTTAACATTTTCTATAAACTGCACATTATACAGTGTTTTTCCTTTTATATGCAATGCTTTGGTTCATATAAATAATAAAATAATAATATACCTTATTCGTTTTCCATTGGCTTGTCTTGATTTGTTTATGCCTTTCAATACTTCCTGATATTACTATGTTTTCTTCTCATTTTTATTAGCGATATGACTTTTTTCCCCAACGGTTTATTGGCCTATTTGTTCAGATACTGATCTTGTTTGGCCGTTTCTGTAATTTCTTCAGGTAGCAAAAAAGAGGAAGTGCTTGGGAAGTCCTTGGAGAATCTGCGTCTGAGGATTTTGGCATAGAACAGGCTCACAGAGCACTTTGACCAACCCAGCGGGGATGGCCAGCCGAGAGATGTATTATGCTGCTTACTCTCGTTCTCCCTAAAGAACGTGATCGTGAAAGCGGCCAGGCCGCTGCAAATCACCCCCTACATGGATGCCCAGTTCTAACTGTATCAGGACCTGTCCATCCTCACCCTGGATGCCAGACGGGCTTTGAGACCCCTGACCCGCATGCTGCATGGCAAGCAGATCCCATTTAAATGGGGATTCCCCTTCAGCTTACAGGCGAAAGTTGGCAACACCTGGCACATCATTCGATGGCCCAACGATGTTCCGAGATGTCTCCAATCAACACATTCACCGGCAGTAGCCATACTAAATTGGATACTTGAGGGCGCACCTCCCTGCCCTAACAGCCTGGTGAGGTCAACAGGAAACCGACCTGGACTGAGTGACGCCGACCTGGGGCGTAGAAGAGGCGTAGCAAACGGCACTGAGGAATGAAAGTTTATGAAGCTACATGGACCACTGGAGGTGCCCACTTCCTAGCCTTCAGTCATGACTGGCCCTCATTACCTTCCCACCTGCCTGAGACTTAACGCAGGCTCCCCTGCAGTTGTTGTTCCTGTGAGGGGAATCTCAACCACACACAATAGTTCCTATTTTTCTTGGCGCTATGGGTAAGGCCTGAGCCTTTGCTTTGATCCTGTGGCTACTCTGGCTCAATATTGCCCTCAGACTATGCCCCGGCCTCCCCCTTTGGGTGGGTTTTCATGTTTGAAACTCTGGGGACTTTTCTGCTGGGTTGTTTCTTGACTCCCAGGGATGGCCTTCCCAAGTTCACTTTCCTGCTCCACACTTTAGTTGGCGTGTACAGCTTATTCAGTGACTGTCCCTGCGCACTGGTTGCCCCGTCCAGAGGTCCCCAGCGTCCCCCTACACCAGCAGGTGGTGGAAACTAGGCTGAGCGTGACCGTATTGCATCTGGGGAACGGCCCTGGATCCGGACTTCACCTTGACAAGGTTCCATAACGTGAACTGATGGGGTCATTACTATTGTTACCACAGCAGAATGTACGCGGCTCCTGAGCTCTCCTCGAGGGGTCCCCTGGGCTTTGCCCTAGGACCCCGCAGGGAGACAGGTGGGGGGAAGAGGTGGAGGAAGGATGGTGGGTTGCCAATTAGTTCAGGGCCCCCACTATATGTGAGCTTGTGGACCCCTGTGATTTCCTTAGGGGTGTGGGGGTGGAATGCAGTGGCCTGCTGGAGCATTACGAAAGGTTAGCAATGGTGAGATCTGAGTTTTCTGGTAGTAGCTGGTAGTTCGAGATAGCCCACTCCACTTAACGCTCCACTTGTTGCCAGGGAGTGGATCTTGGTGGGTTGGGGGTCTGCCACAAAACCCTGCGTGACTGACTCACTGTAAATACAATCGGGATCCACTGTGGTGAATGGGGTATATTATATCCCGTCTTTACTAATCGGACCCACCCGATATTGAGTCGTAGTTGCCAATTGAGTTCTAGAACTCCTGTCACTTCCCTATACCTTTCATTCTCTTTTTCCCCTTCCCCCTACCCTGTCTTTGTTTTTCTTCTTCCCCCTCTCTCCACTATTCCTCTTCTTCTTGATCTCTTTCTCTTACCTTTCTACCTCTAATCCTATGGTACACACTTACGGCCTCACAACTGACAAGAATAGATAACTACTACATGGACAAAGACACCCCTATCGACAAGCCATATCAATGTAATGACAAACTACTAGCCTCCCTCCGCACTACACTGTGAGCAAGATAGTTGGACCCGAGATTTTAACAGCCCATGCACACTCTAGGGTACACCCATCACTAGCTGGGCATTCTTAGGTAAATCTGTATTTATTAAGGTCATCAAATAAACAAAACAGTTTTCCCTCGCAGGGGATAGGGCATAAATTTTGCAAACAGATTGGGAAACAGTACGTTTTCGTATTGGCTTCTTAATTTTTTATTTTTAGCTGTGCATCCTTGACACATACTGGATGTAAAGATCTATGCTAAAGTTTCAAATGATATATCTTCTGGCAAACTTGATGATCTGACGTTCCTGTACTGTTCATTGTGAATGTCTCGCAACGGTTATGTGTACTATGTAAATGCAATGGCAAAGCAGTCAATTCTTTACTTCTGTACTACTCTGTAATCAATAAAAGACCAATACAAAATAAAAATAGTCGAAAAATACATTTTAAAAATTCTCTATCTCAGAATTGTAGTCAGATAGATCTCTCCTTGGATCAATAAACTTGGGCTATCCACGATATTCACAATTAATTAAGTTTTTTGGAATTAAAAGTGAATTCCACATATTAGGCCACAATAGCTAAATTGCAGAAAATTCTCCATGCCAGCAATGGTTTCAGTTTTTGGCTAATATGGTCTCAAATTTGAAATTCACTTTAGATTTCCTATAAGTTCACATGTTAAACTCTTCAATAAGTATCCTAAAGTCTGAGAGTGTTGGGGAAATATACGGTTTAAAATAAATATATATGGAGTGAGAATGAATTTACACGTTAAACAGGTCTATTCTTTTTTAGCATTCAGTGTGTGTGAATAGAGAATATACCTGTCTACTGCATGTGTGAGTACAAATACATATTCATTTGAATACTTCTCATGTAAATATATGCAAGATGTAATGCGAACAAAGACATATCATTTTGTCTCCATCAGATTGCATGATTCACTTTTTTGTGCAGAATATACTTTACAGAAAGACATAAGCATTTATCCCTAGTAGTGGGGTATGATAATATGTTCCATCCCACAGCAATGCAAAGTGCTGTAATTACATAGACCTTTTTTTACGTAATAAGTGGGCGTTGTATCCATCCCCCCTTCAGTCACAGTTTATTTTTAAGATATCAGACAGGAAGAGCTCAGGAAAGAACCTGTTTCTGCATACTTTCAGCCAGGTTCTTGTATTTCAGTGTTCGGGGGGGCTGTATGTGATCTAGAGGAGCTCCAGAGAGAGAGGCGGCCAACACTAGAAGTTTGAAGAAGGACTGGTAGCTGACCAGGTGCACACGGACAGGTCCAATGCTGCCTTTAAACCTGAATGACTTATAGATTGGGAAATGGTCTTGTAGAGCTTGATCCAACTGTTAAAAGAAAAGTGGAGAAAAATAAGATTTGTGTAATGTTGGGTACCAAGATGGCAGCGGGAAGAATATAAAAGTAAGAGATGAGTGAAGAAAACTTGAGAGGCAAGAAATAAAAGGGTTAACAGTAAACCAGACAGATTTTAAGACAAGGAATAAAGATAAAAAGGATAACAATGGACAGACAAGAGGCCTCTGCAAAAGGGCTGAAAGTACAGAGACCTGACCATTTAGAACAGAGATCTGACCCTTTCAATCAGTCTCACAATTTAAATGGACACAGATACGGAGATCAGAACTCCACAACCGACCAGAACTCTTGCCACACACAGGTTCATGAAGTAGCATGGCTGGTTTGTTCAGCTTTTCCTTCATTTGCAGCCTTAAACCGATGTGAGGTTGTGGCATTCTAGCATTTGCCTTCCCCCCTATTGGCAGCCTTGCAGCGAGCCATTGCAGATTTAAGGCTGCGGAAGTCAAACAAACTGTACAGACAGGTCAGCCATGTTACTGGAAACAAAGCTCCAGACACAATTGGGGTTGGCTGAGTGAGACATTATTGGGAACAGGTTGAGGAAATATAACTTACACTGCAAACAGAAACGTAAGTTCTACAGATATCAAGAGCTGGTCCCCCTTTTCTCCTTTAAAAGCAGCATTGGATGTATGCTTTTTAAATTTACGTGTTCTTATTGGTCACTGAATAGTCATATTTGAGACACTGTGCAACTAACTACAAACTTTCAAGCTGCTAAGAAATATTTGTGGCCAACATACATTTTGCTACATTCACCTCTACCTTGAGAGTTACAATGTAAACAGATTTAAACATAATCTAAACGTACAGTAACAATTCCTAAGAAGTGTGTTCTATTCACAAACAGTACTTTTATTAATTAAAAGAAAATTGCAACCTTCATGCTATATTTATATGGAAACAAACAGAAACCTGTCATTAAACATGGAATTCTATTTAAATGGACACTGAAAGCACCCAGACCACCTCATCTCATGGAAGTGGCCCGGGTGCCCTGTCCCTGTTCCCTTAACCTTGCAATATAAAACACTGCAGGTTTAGAGAAATTGCAGTGTTTACATTGCAGCATTAGGACTGCTTCTAGTGGCTGTCTACCAGACAGCCACAAGAGACGCATCCTGCATTTACGTGCAGAGACTTAGTGAAACAACACTGGACCACCTCACGCTTTGCATTAGGAAGTCCATCGTCTTCAACTGCTGGTTGTGCGTGCCCATTATGTCCCCAATTGACTCAAGACGGCACAGAGCCATGGGACATCGACGCTGGAAGAAGGTAAGATATTAATTTATTTAACCCTTTACATAAGTGGGGTGGGTGGTGGGTGGTGGGTGCAGGGGCAAAGGGACAATATAGTGTTCGGAATACAACTTTGTATTCCTAACTCTAAAGTGTTCCTTTAAAGACCTCAACACCTCAATTACAATTGCCACACTTGGGGAATCTAGAATTATCAAGGTGGTTTGGAAGTCTGCAATGCAGGGTCCTCAGAGTCAGACTTGAAACAGGAGTAGGTACAGGTCAAAGCCTAAATAAACTCACAAATGTAGCTGCTTAATGGACACCATACTGTAGAATAAACTCAGAGGATGCTTCATCTGGCCTGATCCAACCATGTGGGTGATCCCACTTCAAGATTGGTATTTGGATCAGATACAGTAATATCAAGAGCATAGGCATGACGTTTGGCAGGGCACAACTGGGAACCTCCATGAGTTCTCAGTCATTGGCCCACACTTCCTGCATTGACTTTGACAAAATACTCTCAACGGGGCCGCCTAGGGCGCACCGGCCTGCAGGGTGCAAGATTTGAGTGACCCGCGCTCCCTCCTGCCAGTCACTTAATGTAGCATTGCCAGGCGGCGCGGACCGCAGTACAGAAGCTTCTTTTACCCGGCCAGACTGAAAGGAAGTGTTCTCTCAGTGAGCACTTCCTGTCAGTTCGGCCGGGTAAAAGAAGCTCCTGTACCGCTGCCCAGCCACGCTACACAGAGGTAGGAGGACAGACCACTAAGGGACACTGCGGGGGGAGGAGAGGAGGAGACGGAGGGGGGGAGGGAGGAGGAGATGTACCACCAATGGACACTGGGGGGAGGGAAGGGAGAGGAAGACAGACCACTAAGGGACACTGGGGAAGGATGAAGCGAGAGACCACTCAAGGGACACTGGGGGAGGAGAGAGACCACTAAGGGACACCTCGGCACCACCAAGGGACACTGGGGGGAGACCCACTAAGGGACACCTTGGGGGAGAGAGACGACTGGGAGGGGGGGGAGGACCACTAAGGGACTCTGGGAAGGTAGAGGAGGAGAGAATCACCATGGACACGGGTGGGGAGGAGAGACCACTAATGAGGGCGGAGAGGGAGAGACCACCCAAGGACCTGGGGTGGTGGGGGGGAGAGAGGAGACCACTAAGGGACAGGGGAGCAGGGAAGAGGACCAAGGGACAGGGGAGCAGGGAAGAGCACCAAGGGACAGGGGAGCAGGGAAGAGCACCAAGGGACAGGGGAGCAGGGAAGAGCACCAAGGGACAGGGGAGCAGGGAAGAGCACCAAGGGACAGAGGAGCAGGGAAGAGCACCAAGGGACAGAGGAGCAGGGAAGAGCACCAAGGGACAGAGGAGCAGGGAAGAGCACCAAGGGACAGGGGAGCAGGGAAGAGCACCAAAGGACAGGGGAGCAGGCAAGAGCACCAAAGGACAGGGGAGCAGGCAAGAGCACCAAGGGACAGGGGAGCAGGCAAGAGCACCAAGGGACAGGGGAGCAGGCAAGAGCACCAAGGGACAGGGGAGCAGGCAAGAGCACCAAGGGACAGGTGAGCAGGGAAGAGCACCAAGGGACAGAGGAGCAGGGAATAGCACCAAGGGACAGAGGAGCAGGGAAGAGCACCAAAGGACAGGGGAGCAGGGAAGAGCACCAAAGGACAGGGGAGCAGGCAAGAGCACCAAGGGACAGGGGAGCAGGCAAGAGCACTAAGGGACAGGAGGGGAGAGCACTAAGGGACAGGAGGGGAGAGCACTAAGGGACAGGAGGGGAGGGGAGAGCACTAAGGGACAGGAGGGGATGGGAGAGAACTAAGGGACAGGAGGGCAGGGGAGGCGACAACACTAAGGTGGGAGGGGAGGGGACAACACTAAGGGACAGGATGGGAGAAGTGGAGTTGAGACAACTAAGGGACGTTGGAAGTGGAAAAGATAATAAAGGGACGGGGAAGTGGAAGAGATAATAAAGGGACGGGGGAAGTGGAAGAGATAATAAAGGGACGGGGAAGTGGAAGACACAGAAAGGCTGAGGAAGTGGTGAAAGAGACACACAGAGGGGTTCAGGAGAGAGACACACAGAGTTACTTGTGAGGGAGACACACAGAGGGGTTCTGGGGGAGGGGGGGAAGAGGCACACCAAGGAGCTGGGAAGAGTAAGACACAAAGGGGCTTGGGGGAGTAAGACACGCAAAGGGGTTGGGAGGATGTAGGCAGGGCCAGATTAAGAGCCCAGTGGGCCTGGTGCTGACAATTATAATGGGGCCTAATTACATAATCTTATTGACCAAAAACACTAACACAGTCATACCTCTCAAGCGTCATGTATCTTGGAGATGGTGTTGGAGGGAAACTCAAATGATGTAGCTATAAAAAAAAAAAAAACACATACTCTATGCTAATCTCTCTCTAATTTATGCTTTCATCTTTCAAGTAAATCCATACCCCCTAACAGCAGTGCCCAGTGAAGCAGGAAGTCAATGGGCGAGGTAAAAGGACAGACATGTTCGCCCCTTTTGGCAGTTCTGGTCACGTTATTCACTGACGTGAATAACGTGACCAGAACTGCCAAAAGGGGCGAACATGTCTGTCCAAAGAATTGTAAGCCCAGCCTGGCATCAGTGTCCCTATGTACCACAGTGTCAGTGTCCCCATGTCGCCCAGTCCCCTAGTCTCCCCATTTCTCCCAGTGTCTCCATGCCTCAGTGTGTCCTGTGTCGCTAGGATACTAGGGGACATAGAGAGACATGGGGACACTGGGAGACATGGGGGGACTTGTGGACATAGACTTGGGGCACTGGGAGACATGGGGACACAGACATTTGGGGACACTGGGAGACATGGGGACATTAAAGGATCACTATATTGTGTCAGGAAAACAAAGCGGTTTTCCTGACACTATAGTGCCCTGAGGGTGCCCCCTATCCCCCCACCCTCACTGGGAGCCATGGGGACACTGGGAGACATGGGAACACTAGGGGCACTGATAGACATAGGGACAGACACTGGGAGACTAGGAGACATTGGGAGACATGGGAACACAGACACTAGGGACACTGGCTGGGAGACATGTGTCTCCCAATGTCCCAATGTGTCTCCCAATGTCCCTATGTCTGACAGCGTCCCCATGTGTCTCAGCATCCCCTTGTCTCACAGTCCCTTAGTGTCCTCATGTCTCCCTGCTGCCTTTCCCCTCATCCCTCACTTCCCTGAGCTGTAGTCTGTCTTTGCAGGCTGTGAGCAGCTGTCTGGACTCTCTGTGCTGTGTAGATGCTCCCCCGCCGATCAGTGAGTAGAGAGAAGCAGGGAGGGATATGCTGTAACTTCCTATCCCTGCCCCTCTCCACACACAGTGACACCTACTGGCTGGTGCTGGTATTGCAGAGTAATCTCTGTTTATACAGAGAAAAATATCTGCATTTGTATTGCGGGTATTACTGCAATACCGGCATGGCCAGGCAGTCTCAAATACCGGCTGTGCCAGTAAAATAACAATCAGGTAGCAAACCTAAGAGTAGTGTGTAAAAAAAAAAAAAAAAAAACTTTTTTTCTTTTTAAATGGGCCTATTCCATGGGCTTGGGCCTGGAGCTGCAGCTCCATCAGCCCCTATGTTAATCCGGCCCTGGATGTAGGACACATACAAAGAGGGGGGATAAGAGACACACAGGGGGTTTCTAAGAGATCTAGATAAAGGGGAGTGTGAGACACAAAATGTAAAGAAAAAAAATATACAAAAACAAATTATATTAACAAAATAAATATAATAAAAATAAAGAGCTGCTCCCCTCTCAGCCCCTATCCTACCACACAAGCCCTCTCTTTTACACTACACACACACAATGCATCCTTAAACATACACAGAAACATACATGCACAGAATGTATCCCTACTCTCACACACAGCTTCTCTTAATGCATCTCTTACACACACTCAATGCACTCCTTACAAGCACATCCCTTACACATACAAACACAGATTCACACAATGCATCTCACACACACACACACACACACAGAAACACACAATGCATTGTTTACACACAAACACACACTGCATCCCCTATACACACACCCACACAAACTGGTATCCCTATACATTACATAAGAACACACACATTACATCCTCTACAATAACACATAACACATCCCCTTCACACACACATACACTCCACTCCCTGTGAGCGAACTCATGGATGGGCCTTGTAAGCATCAGGCTTATGGGCAGGTCTTGTAGGCATACTCACAGTGAGGCCCTGGGTGCTCAGACCGTGATCTGTGTAAGGGGCCCCAAAAAATGTAGCTGCTTCCTGTTCGTTGTTTTTGATAGCACTGCCTCCAGAGAGCCTGTTTTAACCCCAGACCGGTGGAGCCAGACTGCAGCCTGAACCTATTTTTGTTTGCCTAGGGCGGCAAAAATCCTTGCCACGGCCCTGTCTCTCAAGGCAAAAGATCCACTGACAACGGACCTTGCTTAAAGTAGAAAATAATAAACCTTACAGAGCTCATAAAGTTTAGAATTGACCAGGGAACTGCACATTTTTTGCAAAAATAAAGTTTGTTAAACCACTGACCTGGAAGTTCCCCCCTCACAATTTGGCTTTATTATCATGAAAATGTCAGTTCTCATTTCAATTCCCCACACTGTCTATTTTAGTGAATACACTTTTCAGTGGGATCAAATAATTTATTTGACATTCAACAGAAGCTGACTGTTGGCAAGTTGCAGTGGTTAAAGGACTGATCCAGAAGTAACTGTCGTAAACCTAAGTTTATTACAGCCTGGGTTTAACAGTTAAAGAATAAAAAATGTATCACCACAATAAATATCCTGCTTTCATTTACTTAAATCGATCACTGCTGGGTCACTCGAGGAAGAGTCGTTGTGCAACTCTGTTAATGTGTCAGACTGTTTACACACATCATGAATAACACGTGCCATACAGGGGGTCTTGGCAGGCGGCACCACAGCAGACATATGTAGACACGCAAAGCAAAACAGACCAACAACTGGAAATTTTTATCAAGAGGAGAGGGTGCCATGGTGGAGGTGGGAGGGTAACTTGCATACGATCGGCTACTACAATTCTCTCCTAATAATGACTGCTCTGTATGTGTATATGTATATATGAGCAACAACTGCAAAACATTCTAATCTTGCAGTGCCATCTGTTGGTAAATTTGTTTACTGCTGCCATTCACTGTATACATTTTGTGTATTCGAGAGACAATAGTGGTTTTAACAGTTCACTGAACATCTGCTGGTGCTTGATTAATCTCTGAATATAAACAGAGTTAATTCTCTACAATGTATAAATGGTTTCATGAATATATTTTGGAACAATGGGAGGCTAGATGGGCATCGATTAAGCTGGATGATGTGGCATGTTATGAGCAGTTTTTTCCCCACAACAAACAGGGTTATTCACGAAGAGTGAAATGAGCTCGGAATTCAAAGAGAACTTAACATTTAAAGTCAAAATAGCCAAATTGAAAACAGAATTGACTTGGGGATGTATTTTTTTCTTATTTGGCTATTTTGGCCTAAATTTTGATATTCATTTAGAATTTCTCATTTTAGAATAATTTGATTAGAAGACAATAGAGAGTGACTTAGAGTGTTATTGTTTGGATTAAAGTGATGCTTTAACAGCTCTAATATAGCAGGAGATTCTACCATATGTGTTCAGGATTTCTAGTAGCTTCGGAATTGAAGTTGTTGGGTCCGAAAGAAACAGGAGAATATCATCCACGAATAACGCAAATTTTTTCATACCACCCGGGGTAACTAAACCTGGAATTTGTGTGTTCTGGTTTATTTGGCGTAAGAGTGGTTTATTTTAGAGGGACAAAGGTTTAAAAATAATATCAGGAAGTATTACTTAACTGAGAGGGTAGTGGATGCATGGAATAGCCTTCCAGCTGAAGTGGTAGAGGTCAACACAGTAAAGGAGTTTAAGCATGCGTGGGATAGGCATAAGGTTATCCTAACTATAAGATAAGACTAGGGACTAATGAAAGTATTTAGAAAATTGGGCAGATGGGCCGAATGGTTCTTATCTGCCGTCACATTCTATGTTTCTATGTTCCAAGCATGGGATAAAAACAATCGGGGACAGCGGAAATCCCTGGCGCGTGCCGTTGCATATATGGAAAGGTGTAGATAGGAACCTTGTGCTAAAAACTTTACCAAAACCCAAGCTTTACCCATAAATCTCCCTCAAGTCGTAGTGGCCCAGCTAGAAAATCTATACACATTTGATTGGAGGGAAAAAAAACTGTCCTATCTAGGGGTTTAACTGACTAAATCCCTCCAAACAGTTCCAACAGAAAACCACCATCCATTGTTACACAAGATAAAAACCTCACTGGTAAGATGGGCTGAATTAGAAGTTTCTTGGTTGGGTCGCATAAACTCTAAAACTGATGATCCTGCCTCTCATCCTTTACCTATTTCATACGTTGCCAATATCACTGCCTACCAAACGTATTAATCAATTTCAATCTACCATTAATGCACATGTGTGGAAACGAAAGCCACCTCGAGTGGCATACCGTAATTAAGGGCTCACTTATATTAAGGGAGGGCTGGGATTACCAGACATCAGGGTCTATTATAGGGCCACGGGGCTAGCGCAAGGAATACGCATTTTGCGACTCTCACATACGGACCTCTGCCCGCTTTGGCTGTCCCTAGAGAATACATGCATAAGTCCACACAACATTGCTAGCTCCCTATGGTCCAACATGATGTCTCCGGTCAAGTGTGCCCATATGCTACACAATTCCAAATTTCTAGTAAATTTCTAGCTTGGAGATCCTGGAGTTCAACCATTATCAAACCCGACACCCTATTCCATTCTGCACCAATTGAGGTGCTGATGAGCATCTCCCCAGACCTAACGATTAAACCGTGGGTCACAAAAGGTATTCAAAAAGGTGAATGATCTATTAGAGGGGGATAAAATTAAACCATTCCCAGTGCTCCAAAAACAATACTCGCTACCACGAGAGACCTATTTTTGTACATGACAGTAAAAAACTTAATGTTTTCCAGGTTAGACACAACACACGATGTACTTCCCGAAGCGGTAGTGAATGTACCCTCAATGCTTTCAGCCAAACACTTGAAACCTCTCTCTCTATGTTACAATGCTCTTCTCCAAGGGCCTGCAAAAGACAAAATGCCCTATATGATCCAATGGGAGAAGGAGCTGGGGTATGAGATACCTCTGTCACATTTGGCACGAAGCTATGTCAATTACTAAACGAGCCTCAAGGAGCTTATCACTCTGGGAAGCCTTCTGTAAAATCACCATGAGATGGTACCTGGTGCCATACAAGTTATCGCAAATCTATAAGGAGGCATCGGAGCTATGCTGGAGATGCAAAACACAGATAGGCACTTTGCTACACACATTTTGGGATTGTCCAGCCCTAGGAGAATACTGGGACCGGGTGGGGAAATTTATCTCTGATACCACACTCTATAGAATACCAAAGAAGCCAACCAGCTACCTTCTGCATATCATCCCTGGGCTGATACACCACCCCAACCACAAAGTATTGCTCATCATTCTCACGGTAGCTAAGATAAACTTGGCGTTCCACTGGAAGAGCACGACGATTCCCTCGTTAGATACTCTCATACAGAGGTTGAATATGATAAGTATTTACGAGAGAATGGTTAGCAAAACACAGGATTGTGTAAGTAGGTATGTGAGAGATTGGGAATGCTGGACCACAAATATTGGAAAGGCACAGGACAGCAACGCTAACAACGAGGAAACTGATAGGAATAAAAAGCTTATAGGGCACCACTTAATAAGGCTACAATTACCGGAGGACAACAGCATAATACGTTTAAGCAAAGCTTTGATGTCAATCTAGGAAAAATAGTTGCAAATTGTCATATAGCAATTGTTTACTCTGTTATATGAAAATGTTACAGTTTTGTTATTATATGCACTGATAACATTTTCTAATAAAAATTATATATGGAAAAAAAATTAAAAAAAACAGCTCTAATATATGCTCCTTGCAAAGGTTGTTGATCAAACCAAAAAAAAAAAAAGTGTTAAAAACAGATATGCATGTAGCATCGGAAGCATGGGAGGAAGTAACAGCCTGTCACTACCTCCCAGAAACTTACAGAGCGCCACGTGGGACAGAGAAGGAGGAGGGACATGAGGGCGAGAGCAAAGATTGACCCAGTCCAGCCAGTTCACTAATATCAGCCTCAGCCAGCAGGACCATGAGAAGCCACCTCCTGCACATCAAATGCATGTTAATAGGAGGCTGGCTGAAAATATAACAATTATGACATGTATGTGTATCTTTGTATGTATATATCAGTGTATGAGTGTGTATGTTTCTATTTATATGTCAGTGTGTTTATATGTGTGTCAGTGTATCTATGTATCTGTCAGCATATATATCTATGTGTGTATCTGAGTCAGTGTGTGCATATGTGTGTGTCTGAGTGTGTGTGTGTATGCCTCAAAATGTGCTTATGTCCGTGTCAATGTCAGTTTGTGTATCTGTGTATGTATGTTAGTGTGTAGGTGCCCGTATGTTTATTTGTATGCATCTGTGTGTCTGTATAAGTCAGTGTGTATCTGTGTGGGTCAATGTCTCAGTGTATCTATGTATGTGTACCTGTGTTTATGCGTCAGAGTGTGTTTTTGTTTCACTACACAACACACAAAAATACACCTGTATAGATTATTTACCTTCTGGCTACGCTGGCGCTGGAGGGAGGCCCAAAACATTTCTCGCACCAGGGCCCTCACCAAATTAGTTCCGCCACTGATTTACAGTTGTGTGTAAAGAAAAGGTCACCCATTGAGACTAGAAGAAACATTCTGAAGCTTTCACATACAGCACAGACTAAGGTATTTTACTGTAAAAACAATGAAGAATTACCTAAATTGGCTATTTTAGTTGATTATGTCGATACATTTAAAATGGTATGGATTTCTTGCCACTTTGAAGTTAAGGATTTTTCTTTCCCATTTTGTGGCACAATCATAAATCTGCTCAAATAGTTTTTTTGTGTTTTTATTTATTAATTTAAATTTGCCTTCTACTGAATCAACAGCAGACATAGATTTCTGGATGTTAAACCATGATGGACTTAAAATGTGTAAATGCAGTTTACACAAAACTGGAGGCTGTCGTATATGTACACCTAAACTTACATAAAAACTTTTATAAAGCAACCACGTGACGCAAATAAAAAAACAATTTAAAAATCTCAATGCGTTCGTAAAAATATTATTTTGTTGAGTAGGGGAATCACAGCAAGCTGTGGGATGGCTCTCATTCCTTTGCCAAAAGAATTACAATCTCTATATTCACCTTTAAACACAGACATGTAAATGGGAGATTCATACAGGGAGTGCAGAATTATTAGGCAAGTTGTATTTTTGAGGATTAATTTTATTATTGAACAACAACCATGTTCTCAATGAACCCAAAAAACTCATTAATATCAAAGCTGAATATTTTTGGAAGTAGTTTTTAGTTTGTTTTTAGTTATAGCTATGTTAGGGGGATATCTGTGTGTGCAGGTGACTATTACTGTGCATAATTATTAGGCAACTTAACAAAAAACAAATATATACCCATTTCAATTATTTATTATTACCAGTGAAACCAATATAACATCTCAACATTCACAAATATACATTTCTGACATTCAAAAACAAAACAAAAACAAATCAGTGACCAATATAGCCACCTTTCTTTGCAAGGACACTCAAAAGCCTGCCATCCATGGATTCTGTCAGTGTTTTGATCTGTTCACCATCAACATTGCGTGCAGCAGCAACCACAGCCTCCCAGACACTGTTCAGAGAGGTGTACTGTTTTCCCTCCTTGTAAATCTCACATTTGATGATGGACCACAGGTTCTCAATGGGGTTCAGATCAGGTGAACAAGGAGGCCATGTCATTAGATTTTCTTCTTTTATACCCTTTCTTGCCAGCCACGCTGTGGAGTACTTGGACGCGTGTGATGGAGCATTGTCCTGCATGAAAATCATGTTTTTCTTGAAGGATGCAGACTTCTTCCTGTACCACTGCTTGAAGAAGGTGTCTTCCAGGAACTGGCAGTAGGACTGGGAGTTGAGCTTGACTCCATCCTCAACCCGAAAAGGCCCCACAAGCTCATCTTTGATGATACCAGCCCAAACCAGTACTCCACCTCCACCTTGCTGGCGTCTGAGTCGGACTGGAGCTCTCTGCCCTTTACCAATCCAGCCACGGGCCCATCCATCTGGCCCATCAAGACTCACTCTCATTTCATCAGTCCATAAAACCTTAGAAAAATCAGTCTTGAGATATTTCTTGGCCCAGTCTTGACGTTTCAGCTTGTGTGTCTTGTTCAGTGGTGGTCGTCTTTCAGCCTTTCTTACCTTGGCCATGTCTCTGAGTATTGCACACCTTGTGCTTTTGGGCACTCCAGTGATGTTGCAGCTCTGAAATATGGCCAAACTGGTGGCAAGTGGCATCGTGGCAGCTGCACGCTTGACTTTTCTCAGTTCATGGGCAGTTATTTTGCGCCTTGGTTTTTCCACACGCTTCTTGCGACCCTGTTGACTATTTTGAATGAAACGCTTGATTGTTCGATGATCACGCTTCAGAAGCTTTGCAATTTTAAGAGTGCATCCCTCTGCAAGATATCTCACTATTTTTGACTTTTCTGAGCCTGTCAAGTCCTTCTTTTGACCCATTTTGCCAAAGGAAAGGAAGTTGCCTAATAATTATACACACCTGATATAGGGTGTTGATGTCATTAGACCACACCCCTTCTCATTACAGAGATGCACATCACCTAATATGCTTAATTGGTAGTAGGCTTTCGAGCCTATACAGCTTGGAGTAAGACAACATGCATAAAGAGGATGATGTGGTCAAAATACTCATTTGCCTAATAATTCTGCACTCCCTGTATATACCTCAAGCGGAGTCTTTGCTCCTATGAGACATGAACAGATTTGACTTCAACACTGCCATGTCTGATGCTCAAAGAGACTGGCTTATGAATGGACCAGGGCATAGATGATAGAATTGTAAAAAAAGTGATTCTGCCCACAGAAAGCTGTGAACATTCTATTTCTGTTTCTAACGCATAAATAATGAGTGAAACACATGTATTTTCAATCAATCATTACAGATGAACCCTCACACTATGCAGGTGAAATCTTGTGATCACCCAAAATTCTTCCATGGCTATATAATAAATCACATTTATCTCTGTTCCTTACATACCAATTCACTTGCTTCCAAGTGACCCTGCAATCCAATTCCTAAATACACAAACAACAGGAACTGACTGAGGGAGATTTTAAAATGGTCAATACAATATTCTGACAAAGCAGCCAAATGTATAGATTAAAATAATGGAGATGATTCCAAGTACTGTAGAATTTCCACAGATGTGAACCTACCCTTGGACACCCCTTACTTAAAGGGACACTCCACTGTCCAAACACAGAAAGAAAAAGAAAAAAAAAATCATAGAAAGAAATCACAGAAAGAATAAAAAATGTGATAACTCTCCAGCTCCCTCGGTTTGTGAAACTGGAAAATTTACAAAATATAACAGGAGACAGGTGTCATAGGTGGAGAGGCTACCTTTCAAGGCCCATTCCCAATAAGCCTTCAACTAAAAATCACATACAGATGTGTGGAAGAGGAAAAAATCTCAAAAAGCACCCCAATGTGTTTTCTGGCACCCTCTTATTAGGGTTTCAAGATGTATTTATTTTTTATCTTCTCTCTTCCACATGTGTATATGGAACTGGAAACTGCACTGATTTGGACAAGTCCTTCCAAAGGCCAATCCAGCTGGGATAGCTGTAGCTTGACCCCCCGTTTCGTTAAGAGTCTTCGCTGGTAGACGTACATCCCCAGTGGCATTTTGTCAAAAACGCTTTAGTAGATATACCCACAATGAAAACATGTTTACATTTACGTACGACTTTTTCTTAGGCAGTATATCTAAAAACAGTTTGCAAAAGCTGCAGATCTCTTGTCTGGAGTCTTTGTAAGCCTCCCCTTTCTTCCCCAGGCTATTTGTGGCTGTCCAATCTCAAGCCAACTGAGAAGAACTGAGCATTTGCTTTGCAAAGGCAACTACCTGCCTTCAGTAATGCTACAGGTGTTTGGAGTGTTCCTTAAACGAAACATGTACTTGAAGGGTGCATATACTTTGTCCAAGACTGGGCAGCACTCCACCTGCTACCAAACTTGTTATAAAATACAAAGTTCAGGAAGACCTTAATCCTATTGTTATTCTGCAAATCTATGTACACACAACGAACACATTACCTTAAAGGACCACTATAGTGCCAGGAAAACATACTCATTTTCCTGACACTATAGAGCCCAGAGGGTGCCCCCACCCTCAGGGTCCCCCTCCCGCGGGCTCTAGGGGGTGGAAGGGGTTAAACTTACCTCTTTCTCCAGCGCCGGGCGGGGAGCTCTCCTCCTCCTCTCCACCTCCTCCTCGGCTGAATGCGCATGCAACCAGTCTCATAGGAAAGCATTCACAATGCTTTCCTATGGACGCTGGAGTCTTCTCACTGTGATTTTCACAGTGAGAAGCACGCAAGCGCCTCTAGTGGCTGTCAATGAGACAGCCACTAGAGGCTGGATTAACCCTAATATAAACATAGCAGTTTCTCTGAAAAAAAGGGTTAAACCTAGCTGGACCTGGCACCCAGACCACTTCATTAAGCTGAAGTGGTCTGGGTGCCTATAGTGGTCCTTTGAAGGGTTACACCTAGCACCATGATCACTTCAGTGACTATGATGCTTGGAGTCTGTATGTGCATTACACACTGCACTGAGAATTTTTATATTGTTGTCAGGGATTGAACTCCACCTTCCGCAGCATTATTAGTACATGAGTAAGTCTGGAATGAGTTCCAGGCTGGCTAATGTAAATTCTGTGCATATTCTATGCACAGAGGGTCATTCATTGGCTGAAAACGCTAAGCTGATGCTCTTAGCCAATGAATGACTGGCCGATCAGCATTCTGCTTCTGCAGAATCCATACGCACATAACCAAGAAACAAAGAAGGCTTGGTGCCCGAAGCGCAATAATAATAATTATAATAATTAATACTCTGTCACCCAAGTATGAACAGGAGTAAGCTGAAAAATATTAAATTAATTGTCCTTTAACCACTTACGTAATGATCAAGCTGCATGTTGTAACATTACCACGTCTCTGCATAACATGCATTTCTGGGCACTAGTTCATTGCAACTTTTACACAGCCTGGCATTCTCAACTCCACATCATTTTCACATCCTCCAATGTTGTGGTCCTGATTGCACAAAGGTTTACCCTGTAGCAAGGGGTGTCATCATTTGTTAGACAACTGCCTCATTACAAAAAAAAAGAAAAATACTGGTATCACTATGAACCCCATATGGGAAACAAACAAACCCGTTTTCCTGGCACTAGAGGATCCTGGAAAGCATCCTCCCTCCCGCGTTAAAACCCCTTCAGACACTTACCTGAATCCAGCGCGGATGTCCCTCTGTGCTGGGTCAGGCTCCGTCCACGCTCCTCCCCCTCGCGTGCATTACACCTCCCCATAAGAAAGCATTATTCAATGCTTTCCTATGGGGATTCGGCTACGCTGGAGATCCTCATGCATAGCGTGAAAAGTCGTCTAAGAAGCCGGTAGACAGCCACTAGAGGAGGACTTAACACTGCAAGGTAATTATTGCCGTTTATAAAAACAGCAATAATTACACTTGCAGGGTTAAGGGTGATGGAAGTTGGCAATGAGACCACTTCAATGAGCTGAAGTGGTCTGGGTGCCTACAGTGTCCCTTTAAACAGTGAACAGTCAGTGGATGCTTACTAACTAGCGACTAGTTGTTTTTTTATTTAATTGCACCCATCTGATAGCCAAGGGTAGGGACAGGTACGTGGACATACACTTTCCCTCTAGAGAGAAGTGACTTGATTGTCTGAGCACTCCGAATGGTGTGCTTACAAGATGGAGATATTGGAGCTTTTAAACCCTAATATGTGGTCATATTGACCCAAGAGGTTTTTGGTTTTTTTCCCCAGTGTGGAAAATAGCACTAAAAACGATAATTTGCTGGCAAACAGCTAAGAAATTATATCCTGTGAATGTCCACTCTACTGGATGCATTTAGCCTTGATATTTTCTCTCGCTCTCTTTTTAAAAAAAATTTTAAAGTAAAATTGCTTTGTGGCTATTCCAAATCCTATTTTCTCTGTGATGGGTTGGGATGTGAAAAGCACAGATTTTACACCGTACACTGCATGCATCCGGCCGATAGGTACCAATTCATTCAGGATGGCTGAATTCTGACCTAAATTACCTTTAGTAAATATGAGAATTGCCATTGTGGTTGGAATTCAGGTTTTTCACCGGTGTTTAGTGAATTATTGCCCTGTCCGACTTGGTAAACTTTCTTATCAACTCTGTAACTAAAGCATACAAATATGTATAAACATTCCTACCATAGAGCTCTATGTGAAATACCTACATGAAAGATTTGCATGCACAGATTCTCGTAACAGTTATGAACAAACTCATCTCAACATCACTTTGTAAAACTTAGGATGTGCAACTTGGCGCATTTATTGGTCGTCTTCCTCAAATAGGAAGACAGAAACAAGCTAGAAAAAATTAGATTTTCCAGAAAGGTAGGGAATTGCAAGCAGCTTGGTATAAATTATTTCGTGAATGAGTCATAGTCAACAGGATCAAACTACAGGCATTTTTTTCCTTTGGATAATTTTTTTTAACTATATTAGGATATTGCTGCAAATTAATCAAAACACAGACCACCGGTCTGTATGTCAAACAGTGCTATTTGGCTAATGATCGACATCTCTGATATGCTTACTGATGGACCTGGAGTGTGCTCTCTTGTCATATGCTCACCTTATATCTCTGTTCTTCAGATAAGTCTCTCACCCCTTTCAGTGCTACAAAGACTTCATAATGCATGTCTGATCCGCCTGAGAATGGACCTGAAACAGAAGGAACATCACATAAAACTCAGATAGCACAGTCTTGAGTTTTACAAGAAGAAAAGTAAATGAAGAATAGTACTTAGTAGAGAAAAAACTCACATTGACTGTGAGTCAAAACAATGCCATCAAACCCCCATCCATCACTAATGACGGCTAAGAAGAAAAGGCTATGTCTATGTAGAATCCTGCAATCTTGTGGGATCCTTTGTAGACCGGTAGTTTTGTACTCTAGTGCATGATGTCACCGTCAAAGAGCCTAGACAGTGACAGAGCCGCTTTAAGGTATAAATGCCAAATACCAATACCAATATGGAGGCCACTTCCACAATGTATTTCCCAGAACACAAACGTATGCAAGTATCAATGTGTAGAGATGCATGCCAATAGTTTAATTTAACCCCTTAAGGACCAAACTTCTGGAATAAAAGGGAATCATGACATGTCACACGTCATGTGTCCTTAAGGGGTTAAACAAATATTATTAATTTCAATGCCCACAAGCATGTAATCAAAAAGATTGCAACCAAAACAAAGTAAAAATGACTACAAGAATACACTTAGCTGACAACTACAAGAGCCAAAATCCATGATATTTACACTACTGGTGTGCATATCTACATAAAAATAATGTAATGGGGAACCGTTTCTCTGGAACTTATACCATTGGAAAAAAACAAACATTACAATATAGCTTATAACTTGTGTTTATCTTTTTTATGAGATGTCTAGTTTTTTTTTCTTTAAAATGAACTTCTAAGCTCCAAAACAACTTCAGCATAATGAGGCAGTTCTAGTGCATAGACCAGTCTCACTGCTATACGTCGGGTCCTGGGTGCCGACGGACTTCGGGGCCTTGACTCGATTCTGGAGGGGAGACCACGGACCCCCATGATTATCCTGCAATACCTGCAGCTGAAACACTACTATACGAAGCTGCCACACAGAGAACGTCTCCACAGGGAATCGACGTGGTTTGAAGACCTGTGCGAATGAGGCACCTCCATAGAGCATGCCATCTCCACAATTTACCAATACCTAATAATGAACGATCAACCATCCGTGGCCACCTTCAAGAGGCGTTGGGAGGAGTCCCTAAATAAGACATTCACCACACCACAATGGGATAAGGCCCTGATTTGGTAACATAAGAGCTCCATCAGCTCCTACTACCAGGAGGTTGGATACAAATTGATCTCATTTTGGTATCGAACGCCAATGGTGCTACATCAAATGTTCCCGGCGGTGCCGCCGACATGCTGGAGATGTCGCGAGGAGAGGGGCACGCTGATCCACCTGTGGTGGGAGTGCCGAGACATACTCCCGTACTGGGAAATGGTGAAAACCGAGACGACGCTCGTGCTGGGAGACGTGCCGGACTGGTCCGCCGAACTGGCTCTCCTGCACGTCTCTCAGCAGACAATTTCGAGCTATAAGAAGTCAATCCTCCGGCACCTGCTGAACGCTACTAAGGCAGCCAACCAGGCGTACTGGAAACAAACTACCACACCGACAAAGTCGGAGTGGATACAGCGGGTGGAAGATATACAGAGCGCGGAGGCGCTCCACGCCTCCCTAATGGGTAGGGAAGCCAAACACGCAGACATGTGGAGCCCATGGTTCATGTATATTGCTCAACGCCCTCGGGCGGGGGGGCCTCTGGGCCCATGGTGGGGGTGGAGACGGGCGCGGGCCCCTCGTAGTGCGGCCCACTCCACTTTAACTACCCCCCTCTATTGTTTTCCTTAAACCTCACCCGCTCCCAGAAATGCGGGAGGATTCCCGAGGCGAACCGGGTGGGAAGTTACAGAGGTGCGAACACACTGACACACCATTGAATACTGAGACAATATCCACACTACAGCCACACAACCAACAAGCAATCACATACACCAGCAGACTTCAGAAAAGTAGTAGCGCATTACCAACAGTTACCTGTAACGGGACAGCCTCCTGAACACAACTGTTCCCCAACATACACGGATGCATACCCCTTCGACTGTCGAAGACCCGTGCTTTTCAACTAGAGATTAGGGATTAGAGCCGTATACATGGTAAAGCTCATCTGTCAGGGTACGGGGAAAAACCGTGATACAAGTTTTATAGCTGTACAATCACGGTTGATCAGGAGGCAGAACGACACGTCCCCTGTCAGATCACAGAAGAGACCATGGGCGACAGGATGATAGGAGACTTCTCCATGGTTGGAAAACCTGAGAGCTACAACTAGCCTAGGAACTTAAAGGCACTTAGTAGACAACGGCTTGATTTAAAATTCTTATACATTGGGCTATCTAACATGAGGATACCACCTTAAGGAGTTTTCTACTAAACGGATGAAAGTTTAAAATTATGAAAATGGCGGCCCACAAGGGGCAGGTTCAGGTGCTTAGCGTGTCCCTTTAAATGCATATTAAATGCAAATATAATCTCTCCCTTTCAGCGTATGCATTCCTGATTTAAAGAAGCACGTTTTTTTTCCAGCTTTCAATGTTGCCATTTAATACGTAGCAAACAGCCAAATGTACATGTGAATAAAGTAGCACAGATTTTACACAGTGCATCGCATGCATCTGGCCGATTGGTGCCGATTCATTCAGGATGGTTGCTATGTTTACATTGAGGGTTAATCCAGCCTCTAGTGGCTGTCTCCCTGACAGCCACTAAAGGGCCGCGTCCGCGATTCTCAGTGTGAAAATCACACCGAGATGAACCTGGACACCCATAGGAAAGCATTGAGTAATGCTTTCCTATGGGCAGTTTGAATGCGCGCACGGTTCTCGCCGCGCATTCGGAGCTGACGTCGGCAGGGGGAGGAGAGGTCACAAGCGCCGAGGGAGCCCAGCTCTGGATTAAGGTAAGTGGCTGAAGGGGTTTTAACCCCTTCAGCCCAGGAGGGGGAACCTAATAACCCTATAGTGCCAGGAAAACGAGTTTATTCTCCTGGCACTATATTGCTCCTTTAACTTTTAAGTGAATCTGTTATGCAACTATAACACAGTCATATTTACACTAATGGTGTAGAGGTTTAACCTAGTCTGTCAGTAGCAAGAAGCGAGTATGCCTCTGTGATCAAAGCAAAGTGTGGAGTTCACAGATAAGCAGAAAGCCCACTTTGAATGTATGGATGTATGTTTCAAAGTACAGACATAGCATAAGCATACTAAACCACATTTGGGGAAGTGGCATGGCTGTTTCTGTGAAAACTGGCCAGAGGCAGCTAATTTTTTTTGTCCAGCACAAAGAGTTTATATATTGCAGTTCTTATTCTAGAATCCATGGTGTATTCTGTGAACATACACTTTGTGATTTTTTTAGAAAAACACACACACACACACACACAAACTACTCTCCTGTAAGTGATTAAGATGTTTTAGTATTCAGTATTTAGGATACATCCCATGGCACCTGGGATTGGGGGAAAAAACAAATTAAATATTAGAGATGGGTCTGACATTACACCCTGTTCCAAATTATTATGCAAATTCTATTTAAGTGTCACAAAGATTAAATATTTTGTTTTTCAATTTAATTCATGGATGGCATTGTGTCTCAGGGCTCTTTTGATCACTGAAAACAATCTCGGACACCTGTGATAATTAGACTGCCAGGTGAGCCCAATTTAAGGAAAAACTACTAAAGGAGGGTGTTCCACATTATTAAAGGACCACTATAGTGCCAGGAAAACATACTCGTTTTCCTGGCACTATAGTGCCCTGAGGGTGCCCCCACCCTCAGGGACCCCCTCCCGCCCGGCTCTGGAAGGGGAAAGGGGTAAAAACTTACCTTTTTCCAGCGCTGGGCGGAGAGCTCTCCTCCTCCTCTCCGCCTCCGTTACGCCCCGCCGGCTGAATGCGCACGCGCGGCAAGAGCTGCGCGCGCATTCAGCCGGTCTCATAGGAAAGCATTTGCAATGCTTTCCTATGGACGCTGGCGTGCTCTCACTGTGATTTTCACAGTGAGAAGCACGCAAGCGCCTCTAGTGGCTGTCAATGAGACAGCCACTAGAGGATTAGGGGGAAGGCTTAACCCATTCATAATTATAGCAGTTTCTCTGAAACTGCTATAATTATGAAAAAATGGGTTAACCCTAGAAGGACCTGGCACCTAGACCACTTCATTAAGCTGAAGTGGTCTGGGTGCCTAGAGTGGTCCTTTAAGCAGAGCACCATTTACATGCAATATGGGGAAGAAAAAGGATCTCTCTGCTGCTGAAAAGAGTGAAATAGTTCAATGCCTTGGACGAGGTATGAAAACATTAGATATTTCATGAAAACTTAAGCGTGACCATCGCACTATTAAGAGATTTGTGGCTGATTCAGAGCACAGACGGGTTCGTGCAGATAAAGGCACATTGAGGAAGATTTCTGCCAGATCCATGCATCGCACCAAGAGAGCAGCTGCTAAAATACCATTACATAGCAGCAAACAGATATTTGAAGCTGCTGGTGACTCTGGAGTCCCATGGACGTAGAGTCCTCCAGAGTCTTGCAACTGTGCATAAACCTTCTATTCGGCCACCACTAACCAATGCTCACAAGCAGAAACGGCTATATTGGGCAGAAAAATACATGAAGACTAATTTTCATTTCCTGTTCACTGATGAGTGCCGTGCAACCCTGGATGGTCCAGATGGATGGAGTAGTGGATGGTTGGTGAACGGCCACCCTGTTCCAACAAGGCTGCGACGTCAGCAAGGCGGTGGTGGAGTCTTGTTTTGGGCGAAGGTGTAAAGATGACCTCTGCAAAGTATGTGGAATTTCTGACTGACTACTTTCTTCCCTGGTACAGAAGGAAGAACTATGCTTTCCGTAATAAAATCATCTTCATGCATGACAATGCACCATCTCATGCTGCAAAGAATACCTCTGCATCAATGGCTGCTAAGGGGAGAAAAGGAGAGAAAGTGATGGTGTGGCCTCCATCCTCCCCTGACCTCAATCATATTGAGAACCTTTGGAGCATCCTCAAGCAGAAGATCTTTGAGGGTGGGAGGCAGTTTACATCCAAACAGCAGCTCTGGGAGGCTATTCTGACATCTTGCAAACAAATTCTAGCAGAAACTGTCCAAAAACTCACAAGTTCAATGGATGCAAGACTTGTGAAGCTGCTATCAAATTAAATTAAATTAAGTTAAAATGTTGTTATAAGTTTGATTGAAATAGCTTTTGATTTCAGTAAATATGCTGCAAACACAACAAATGACAATTTTCAGTTCTTTACAACCTATAAAGTGTTTTGAAACTTACTGTGCGTAATAATTTGAATAAAAACAGTGCATTGTAAGTTTTTTTTGTTTAAAAAAAATACTGTTATCATTAGGAGGTTTGTTCAATAAAATTTGAATTGTACTCTTAATAGTTGATAACACGAGAATTATGCTGACTGTTATTTACATCAATTATGTAGGTAAATGAGGGGGGGCGGGGCCTGACAGCCAAGATGGCCGGTCGTGCTCTCTAAGAGCTCTTGCACTGGAGGGCACAAAAACCGAGAATCCTGGTAAATCCTACCAAGCCAACAACCCATGGTGCCCAGAAAACGACACAGAACCACATGAGGAACAAAACGGTACCTATCATGCACCGCAACGATACACAAGCACACGAACCGACCATGCGGCCTATCTTGCAGCGGGGCCTGAAGCCTGGGGGAAGCGGCCGATCGCCCGGCACGGGACCTGCTAAAAAGCGAGAAATGCATGATGCCCAGCCACCCCCCACTCTTGACCGGCAGGGGATATCCTGGTCCACGCTGGGGACGATTAATCCCACAACAAGGCACGAACAAGCGACAATACTTACTGAAAAACGAGGCTGTCAAGGCCCAAACAAAATGGCGCCACGGGCGCGACCGGCGTCAAACAGCTCCCCTGCAAAACCGCCCAATAGCACACTGGACTTCTTTGACCAGCTCTGTACTAGCCTATGGGCTAAACTCTACAACAGGGGTCGGATCTTCAAGCTGGCGAGGAAAGAGGCAGCGGCATGGATTCGCCCTGCCACCCGACGCCTCCTGTGCGGATGTCCGCCGCAATCCCCCAGGGTGGGAAATCGGAGTGGCGGGGAGCGGAGACGGGCCTCCCGGGCACCAACACCAGCCCTCACACACGGCAGCGCAGGACCACCGGGTTTGCCCGACCCGCTCAACACTCAGCGGCAACCGAAGCCACCGACCAACAGAGAACGTCCCCGCACATACGGTCTCACGCTGCAAGCCCATATCAAGCACCCACTATATCTGGGGCAACCCAACACCAGCAACAAGGTACGACCAACCATCCCCACCAACCCATGCCCACTTACCAATCCCAAATGGGGACCCAGGGACACTCTATAGGGCACAGCGTGGGCTGAACAAAGAATACATTACAAACTGTCTGCCTCGAGGACTAGAACCATTTGTGCCAATCAACCCACTGTCACCCAGCGGAATTACCCTCACTTCAAATGACTCTTACTTGTTTGCTTTCTCCGGAGTATAGCCTCAATAGACTATCCATTATCAAAGTTTATCATGTTTCATATGTTTAATGATTACAGGCGTATGGGCAACCCTCAGCACCAGAGAATGAGCAATAGACCTCTCCTCTCCGAGACTAGCTAAGGGTCACAAGCATGACTTTAACAATGAAAATATAGTAATGTTCGGAAGCCGCACTTTAGCCTCCCTTAGCGTGCTTTAACCTATGTCTAACAACATATTAACACCTACACATTCCACAAGTATGTAGGTTTAGATGTTAAAGGGTATTTTACAAACAGTGCAGTGAGCTAGACCTATAACGTGTGCCACTAGCGGACACTCTCTGTTGCTAATCGACTAACCATACATATAAATGTGTCAATAACTATTGTTTTTTCTTTATGCTAGTTATTTTAGCTAAATCTCACTCTGTTGGAATAACTTTAGTTAAGCGTGCAAATTATAAAAAAGGTGCGAATTATCACGCCACTGTCTAATCTATGTGAATCCTGAGATACGCTGTTGTGGCGCCTGTTGATATGTCTGTAACCTCCCGCACAACAAAAATAAAGAATTTTAAAAAAATTATGTAGGTAAATGAGAAAAATATAATTTGCATAATAATTTGGAACAGGGTGTATATCCTTATGTGTAAAATCAAGCAGGTCACTCAATTAAATCAATATCACCTATACTGAAAATAAACTGAGTAATGAGTGTTATCAATTTTAATAACGGATTTTCAAATTATTCCTTTATGTAAAATTTCTTACTATGGAAATTAAAAATAAACTATGGTGAGAAAAGTTAGTCTTTAAACAGTAAATAATAAAAGCACATTTCACGATTTATCAACTTACTGGGCACATTCCTCCACATCTTGTGGGAATGCCTTGTGATCCAGATATTCTAGAAAACTATACACAAGTTCACTAGAAAATTTTCAGTTAACCCACCCCACCCCTTGCAACTTGAACAAGATCCGAAGGAAGAAACTTAAAGGAACAGTAAGAAAGGAAAGATGGGCATATTAACGGACTTTAGAGTAACTAGGCTTAACGGTTAGATTTAAAAGGAAGTAACAGAACTATATAGGCCAGATAACGCAAGGGACTAAAGGTCCACAATAACAAAAGGATAATCCAGAGCCAAAATTGATACACAGGATGATGTCAGGAACTAGTCAAGATCAAGGATAAAGCCAAGTCTGGTATAGGTAATAGAGGATAAAACTAGCCGAGCCAGGTAAACAGTAGAGAAAATAGAACAATTCAGAGTTAAAACGAAGCAGGTTAAAGGACCACTATAGTGCCAGGAAAACATACTCGTTTTCCTGGCACTATAGTGCCCTGAGGGTGCCCCCACCCTCAGGGACCCCCTCCCGCCCGGCTCTGGAAGGGGAAAGGGGTAATAACTTACTCTTTTCCAGCGCCGCAAGTAGAGCCTCCCTCCTCCTCTCCGCCTCCCATTCTTTCCTCTCCGCCAAGTTGGACAAGACGCTACAAAGCAAGAAGGCCAAGATTCAGCTTCACAATATTGTTGCATAGAAAGCATTTACAATGCTTTTCTTATAGATACGCTATGCGGCCTCTCACTGTGGAAAAATCACAGTGAGAAGCATCGTTAGGTTTGGTAGTGGGCTGTCAATGAGACAAGCTTCACTTCAGAGGATTAGGGGGAAGGGTTAACTCACTATAATTATGTTTCTCTGAAACTTGGTACTATGAAAATGTTATTTCCCTAGAGGATTTGGTGCACCCAGACCACTTCATTAAGCTGAAGTGGTCTGGGTGCCTAGAGTGGTCCTTTAAGTATACAGGAATCAGGAACAGTCAGAAACATGATTTGGGTTTACGAAAGGGCACTGGGCTAATGATGAAAAGAGGGTAAGACATAAGCTTTACATTTGGCTCAAATGTGCACTGTATCAATAGAGACGCTAGATAAACTAATAAAAGGTCGGGCCTTGCATCATTTTTGGTTGGTTTGGATTCAGAATTGCAACCAGGACCTAGTACTGATGTTGCTGCAGCAAATGTGCCATGGTGTGTTAATTTTGGACAACTGTAGCTACATCACACCACCTCCTAAGTTGACACATTATCAATATTCCGTAAACCACAAGACCAACCTCAACAGACATTGCGATATACAAAGATATGAGAATTAACGGTGGGGGAGGAATTATTCATTAGTGCTACAAACAGGATGTTGGTATATACATCAATAGATCGTAAACTCTTATCTCTGGGGCCAACTGAGAGAAATGCAATGTATCATTACACTCAATCAGCAGCCATTGATAGCCTATCGCCTGCCACCCACTTGCCTCTGCTTCTAATAAAAAAATCTGCCTTTGGTTTTAAGTCTTTGAGTGCCCAAGCAGCTTTCAATTCTATGGATTGGAGCCACCCAAGTCTGTGAGGCACCCTCTGCTTAGATTATGCAGTCCCAATTGCCCACCAAACCTGATCCAGTGGCAGCTGGGAGGATATATCCTAAGGAACCAACGTCAGGGTTAAACTGTTGGAAAACTGTATCCCTAAGGTATGATGGCTCACAGACACTCATACGATAAGATAAAGGCAATATAAATGTGGGAGACATTGGATATTCTATTGGCTTTACCAACTGGTTTTGTTTAAGATAATTGGACAAAAGTTAACCAAAGAAAGAATATATAATTCGGACTGTTACGTACCCAAAATTCCACTTTCTAAGCAGCAGTAGTTTAAAAGAGTGGCTCCAGGCCATAACTTCACAGTGTAGAGAAGAGTTTTATAGAATTCATCTTCTGAAATGCACTCTCCACGAACACTCAATGTTTGGCTCCTTCTGCAAAATTCACAAAATCCATTTTCATCACACAAATAAAATTAAGTTGAATTAAACAAAACAGGTCAATAAATCTATTTTTAAACAAGTAATGTAATAAAAATGCAAGATATCGCCTTGCACCTTTCCACCCCTCCATTTCCATATCTACAAAACCTGGTTACAGGTGGCTGGTTCAGGGAATATTCAAATAAAGTGCTCTTTTATACAGAACATTACTGTCAGAGGTGTTCACTAAAGTGTAAAATTGTTGGGAATTCAAAGTGAATAACGCCGATTTATTTTCTTAACTAAAACACTTCAAAGACTTAAAGCAAGTACCATTACAAATGGCGTGATTTTAAATGATCATGGAACTCGGAATCTGTAGGTGAAATGTTATATAGAGAAAGCCATGTCCAGACTGGCTAATGTAAATGCCTCTGTTATCAGCACCCATAGTATGATAGAGATAGATGGGCAATGTTGGCAAGCCCCATAATGCCAATAAGGGTTACTCCGACCAAAAACAATATATGTATAGAATTTTCCAGTACCCCAATTGTAGGCTTCCTATTGACAGTCTTTATCTTGGGCTGGAACAATACATCCATCTTTGATTTCGTGTTTGAATGTCTGCACATACGGTATGGTTCTATGGGTGCCCAAATAAAAGTTGTTCATTCTTCTTCTAAATACAGTCCTGGGTAGAGATTCCTTTTAGTTTGGCTGAATGTAGTATAGTATTCTATAGATCTATCCTCATTACACAGTAAGAATGCAGAAAGTTTTTTTTGTTGGTTTTGCTTTGTAAAGTGTTAAATAATGCTTACCTATATAAAAATTCCAGTATAGGGCTTTGGTTATGAAAGTCTGCAACACGAACCACATCTCCAAGTCTGTATCTGAAATGTATAAGTGAGAATCATAAGCTTACAATCTTTTTAGACCCAGTCCAGCTTACAATTTATTTCAAACACACAGGAATGTCAGGGCCGTGACATCAGTACACAAAATCTTTGACTCCGACTCCTTAACCACTTAAGGACACAACTTCTGGAATAAAAGGGAATCATGACGGAATATTTCCGTCATGTGTCCTTAATTTGTGGTACCTCTGACACCTTTTATGGTATAAAATTATAACACAATTAACATATTACAATTTAAAGTCAAAATTTTAAAGGTTAAAAAAAAAATCTCCCAAAAACTACAGGCCAACTAATAGCCGGAAGTTGAGCTGAAGCAAAAATAGCTTCTTGGCCTAACGCAATACTCATTCTTCTCATTTCTCTCGATCACTTCTAACTTGTTTTCTAAACTAACAGAATTTCTAGAGTGCTTACCATCAGTGTTATCACTCAATCGGGTATGCTTAGGAGTCATAATTTTCTCTTTATACACACATTTCAAAAGAATTAGCAGATGAAATTACCGCTTGCAGTATCGTAAAATTCGTATGTAAACATAGCTGACACACTGGAGAGATCCTAGTGTGTCATCTATCGGCAAAACAAGTTAACTACACGCATATTTTTTGTTTGTTTACTTTTAAACTCTGTCATTGCAATAATAACCTGTGTATAACATGATACAGAAAGTAAAAGAACATTTATAATTTTAAATGAAATTGGATATCTGTTGACTTCTGTTGCCTAGACTTGGTCCAAACATAAGTGTAAAAGTCCCTAGGACCAAAAGTTGAACATTATTATGGGGTTATTGGGGGAATATAGAGCAAAACCTATATTACATCTCTAATTTTTGGGTTCGACTTACGTGCCAGCATGTACTGTAGATTTAATCTAAGTTGGTATATATTTAATTAACTTTGACTCCAGTGACGCACCATCAGGGGCCTATTTCTGCACTGCTTAATTAGTGAGGGGCTACTGGCTAGACTCATGTTTAAATTAAACCTCTACTGTTTAAAGGAACATTAAGTCCACTGGTAATAAAGAGTATAAACGGCGGAGAAACACAGGGTTAAACTACTGGAACAAGTTAGATACCTAGCTTGCATTAACTCTTACCTTTTGCATAGTTCAAGATCCTGTGTAGGCCTTGATCTTAATTTAATTTTATCATTCTAAATAATATGATCAACTACCACGGAATATTTACAATAATTTCTTGTTATACAATTCTGCATGTGTAAGAGTACATCTCTTTCCATGCAACATTCTTTACATCTATATTGTGCTATCCAAACTGCTAAGAAGTGTATGGATGACATTTTATTTTTTTATAAATCAAAGTAATAGCTGGCAAACAGAGGTTGGTTTCAGATATATTCTCTGCAAGAGAGGCTAACATAATCCATGCGGAGCAAAAACAAATGCTGCTTATAAAAAAAGTTGAACGCAAATCATTATTCTTTAAAAATAGTCAAATATTTAACTGAAACCAGCAACTCAAACAAGAGAGACGTACTAGGCACCATAACCACTGAAGTTGTTATGGTGCTCTGAGTCCCATACAACAACCCCACTATTCAATATTAAAGGGAATCTGTTATAGTCAATGTTACTTAATTTACTTTAATTCCTCATGTAAAAATAATGTATCAAGTATTAGAAAACAAAATTTTAAATGCACACCCACTCTTGTCAGACTATCGTCACAGAGTCTGTGCTGACATGTGTTAATAAGGGAATACATATAAAGCCTGTTCTCGAGCGGTCTTCAAATATAGTAACGTACAGATACATTTTATTTTCACATTTTCCCAGCATTCATCTTTAGAATTGTCAAGATAGCCCATACTGTTTATTACATGTCCTGTGTCTGCAGGGCTGCCATCAGAAAGTTTGGGGCCCCCGGGTCCCACCCTCGACTTCGCCCACAGGGCTCTTTCTGAGTAAGCCCACAAGGATACAGGACTGAATGTGGTGTCCTGTATGCGTGCAATGGATGCAGAGTGAGTGTCTAATGAATGCAGTGTGTATAGTGGATGCAGATTTTACATTTGTGTAATGCGTGGTTTTTGTGTGTATTAGATGCAGTGTGTGTGATTGTGTAGTGTATGTAGTGTGTGCACAGTGAATACAGAGTGTGTTTGTATAGTGGATGTAGTGTGTGTACAGTGAATACAGAGGTTGTTTGTGTAGTGGATGTAGCGCGTGTATGTAGTGTGTGTATTAGATGCAGTTTCTGAAGTGGATGCAGTGTGTGTTTGTGTAGTGGATGTAGTATGTGTGTATTAGATGCAGAGTCTGTGTATAATGAATGCAGAGTGTTTGAATGTGGGGTGGATGTAGTGTAAGTATAGTGAATGCAGAATGTGTGTAGTGGATGCTGTGTGTATAGTGAGTGCAGACTGTGTGTCAGTGCAGTGGATGCAGAGTGTGTGTTAGGGTAGTGGATGTTGTGTGTATAGTGAGTGCAGAGTGTGTGTCAGTGTAGTGAATGCAGAGTGTGTTGTACTAGTGTATGCAGTGTGTGTCAGTGTAGTGTATGTGTTGTACTAGTGTATGCAGAGTGTGTGTTGTACTAGTGTATGCAGTGTGTGTGTTGTACTAGTGCATGCAGTGTGTGTGTTGTACTAGTGCATGCAGTGTGTGTTGTACTAGTGTATGCAGGGTGTGTGTCAGTGTAGTGTATGCAGTGTTTCCGGGCCCCCCAGGACCGCGGGCCATGTGTGTCTGCGGCAATCACCAGATGGGACTCTGCCAGTTGTAGTGGAGAGCAGGACTAATAGCATTCAAACCCACAAAAACAGGATAATGGTGGTGCTGGAACCATTGGAAAATGAGGTAAGAATTTGGAAACTCAATGAAGCCTCATAGAATGCAAAAAAAATATAAAAAAAAATACTTTTGGCATTTTTTTAACAAAATTAACACCTTAACAGGATCAACCTATTGTTCCCGTAAGTTTATTTGTAATTGTCCTATTTATAGTTAAATCCCCCGCTCATAATATTGTAAAGCGCTACAGAATCTGTTGGCGCTATATAAATGGCAATAATAATAATAATAATAATAAGGACACAGCTTCAAAAGCTTGTTTTACCTTTAGGGACACAGCTTCAAAAGCTTGTCTTACCCTGAAGGACACAAGCCATCTTTGGCTGTTTGTGTTTAACCGCAATTTGCATCTCTCTCATTTATTGCACCACATATTATATATCGTTTTTTAGAGGCCAAAAGGGCTTTAATTCAGTGTCACATATACATAGATAAATTCTCATTAATTTAAAAAAAAAATGCCAAAAAATGGGGGTGAAAAATGGGGGTAACAAAATACAAGAACTAAAATAAAATTTCAATGTGAAACAATTTTAGAAGTTCATATGTTTGTCTTGTAAGTTTAGTAGCCATCACAGAAAACAAAATAGCCACACAAAAGTATATATTTATATAAAGTAGACATCACAAGCTATTTATAGGTTATTTTGACACTTTTTACGTAGCCATTTCATTGCCAATCTCTGCTAAATATTGGAGAAAATTGTTATTTTTACTCTATTTTGGCATATACACAGATAAGATTATGCTCAGTTACATCTTCTGAGTAAAACAATATGCCCAATGTATGACCTACACACTATTTTAGTTGAAATTAAAGTGCTGTAAAAGAGACATGACAAGTTCAGATTTTTAAGTGTAAAATTTTCATGGAGGGCTTTGATGCATCCATATCCCACTTTGGAGCACTTTAGCAGGCTACATATTCCAACTAAACCATAAAACATACCATTTCTTAAAGAATGGTATGGGATAGTTTTTCCGCTAGCTTGTACCATGTGTAGTGGTAATAAGCATTTAACTCTGCTTTTTTGACACACAAAGTGAGTTTGCATGGTATATTTTGCAAATCTTATGTGTGCTTCGGCTGTATAATACTTCATATGTTGCTCAGCTATGTTGTCTGAGTACATCAATACCCCCGTAGGTACCTTTGCCAGGTATATGTGGACATTGAAGTGGCACATTTATTTATTTATAAAATATTTTACCAGGAAAGGTAAATTGAGATTTCTCTAATTTTCAAGTATGTCCTGGGTCCACAAAACATTGCATTGATACAATAGGGTACAATAAAATACAAAAACAATATTAATACACAATATATACAAAATTTAAGATAGAACAGGTAGGAAATATATAATCAACCATGACACTTATTACATTTTTTTTTTTAAAACTTTTTTAACCCTTTAGTGACCAGACAGTTTTTAAATTTTCTTAACATTAAGGACCAGGACTGTTTTTACATTTCTGTGGTGTTTGTGTTTTTCTGTAATTTTCCTCTTACTAATTTACTCTACCCACACATATTATATACAGTTTTTCTCGCCATTAAATGGTCTTTCTAAAGATACCATTATATTCATCATATCATATAATTTATTATAAAAAGATTTATAAAATATGATTTAATCATTTAAAAAAAACACACCTTTTCTAACTTTGACCCCCAAAATGTGTTACGCCTCTACAACCGCCAAAAAACACCCGTACTAAATAGTTTCTAAATTTTGTCCTGAGTTAAGAAATACCCAAATTTAACATGTTCTTAGCATTTTTGTGCAAGGTATAGGGCTACAAGTACAAGTGGGACATTGCTGTTTCAAAATATATATTTTTAAAATGTAATAGTGACATTGTAACACTTACCTGTCATAAATCTCTGAATCACACATGTACATATTTTTTTTTTTTTTTAAAGTAGACAACCCAGGGTATTCAATATGGGGTATGTACAGCCTTTTTTAGTAGCCACTTAGTTACATACCCCATTTGCAATACCTTAGGTTGTCTTCTTTTGCAAATGGTATACCATCATGGGGGTAATTCTCATTCCTGGGCTACCATACGTTTTCAAAGGAAACAATCAATCTGGTAATTTTAAAGTGAGAAAAGTGAAAATTAAGCCTTATATTTGACCCAGAGACTTTCAAAAACACTATAAAACCTGTACATGGCGGGTTCTGTTATACTCGGGAGACTTCGCTGAACACAAATATTAGTGTTTCAAAACAGTAAAACGTACACTTACTATGACTTTATATACAAGATTAAAAAAATAAAAATTATATATAATACTCTTTAAGAGCAGTCACATGGCCTGGGGTGTCTAATTTGCCATGGGGGGACTATCTGGGCTGCCAGACATTCCCCCTATATGGAGAGGAACACCGATCGCCGGCAGGGGAACTGCAGCTATCAGGTAAGTAAGTAGGAATTCCGCAGACGTTCTAGGTACGCCCGAGGTCCTTAAGGACCATTTTTGTCAGATGTACCTAGTACGTCCAAGCTCAGGAAGGGGTTAAACTTTATTGAAACTTTTTTACACTTTTAAAATGTTTATAAACTTTTTTTTTTACCGTTAACCCCTAACTAAATAAGCAGCACTAACAGTAAATTTCCCATAACTCCCACCCCAGCGAGCAAAATATAAAATTTGAAAATATCTAAATTCATTAATGAAATAAATTGAACCACTGAGGGTTAGAAAAAGTATAAGTTAATTCTCAGGTGTTAAAAAAAAAAAAAAAAATCAGATCACAATATAATACTCCAAACTGTATTTTGATCATTGTAGGCAGTGATCAACTGGCAGGGAAGGAGTTAATTTTTATTAGCACTGGGAGGGGAAAAGGGGATTTTTTTTTTTAACTTTTTCAAAATGTTATTAAAACATAATTTATTTGCTTTTTTAAGCTTTTTTTAAAACCTTTTTTAACCCCTAGCTAGCCTAACACCAAATTCTCCCATTCCCCATAACTTCCACCCACCCCAGCTAGCTACATATATAATGTTTAAATATTTAAATGAATTAATAAAATACATTTAACCCCTGAGGGTTAACTTTTTTTTTTTTTTTAACCCTCCGGGGTTAAATTTATTTTATTAATTAAATAAAAAATAAAAAAATCTGATCACAGTAAAATAGTCAGTGATCAAATGGCAAGGAAGGGGTTAATTTGATTAAAGCAGGGGAAAGGGGGAGGTGAGATTTAACTTTTAATTAATTAATTTTTTTTAAACAGGGAGAAGATGCGCTGCACTAATCCATCTCCCTGCACTTCACACTGACCATGGAAGCACAGGGAGGTGGACCAGGAGTCCCTGCAGCACATGTGCTCGCTCTGACAGCCTGTCTGAGAGATCACAGCTGCAGGGAGAGCGCGATTGGGAGCTCCCGGTCTGCCTCTGATACTGAGGCAGACTAGAGGAGCGTTAACCCCGCGATCTGGGGTTAACATTAGTAAATGATGGAAATTATCAGTCATGCGTCCTTAAGGATAGGACAAGCATGACAGAAAATATCTGTCTAGCGTTAGGAAGGGGTTAAAATATTTAAGTGAAGTGACATTTTACACAAATTCACTTAAAACTGTGGCCTCTCTGTTGGTAAAGGTATCAGTGCAACCCCCCTTCTGCTTGGTTTGGCTAAGGCGGAGTGCAACTAACTCTGCCTTAGCCAATACCGCCACAGTGGGCCAGCCTGCAGGCCACCTCGTTTAGTGTTGCAAGGATCAAAAACTATTGAAAAGCACCAGGAGACGTCAGGTAACATAACCACTTTATTTAATTGAAGTGGCGCCTAAAGTGTCCTTTTAATAGGATTTTTGCTGGGATGTACCTAATACTAGGCATGCTGTTTTACATTTCCAGGGGCTTAAAGGAACAGTACAGTGTCAGGAACACTAACATGTATTCCTGACTCTATAGTGTTAAAAACACTATTTACCCCGCTGGCACCCCATAAATACAGTAAAATCTTACATTTATTTTAATCTACTGAGGAAAGTTCATGGTCTCCATGCAGAGGTTGGCACTGCCCCAGAAAGCACCTCTAGCAGCCATCTGAAGAGTGGCCACTGGAGGTGTCCCTAGAATGTAAAAAGCCTTCGCTTATTGCAAAAAGCCTGCATTGACTAACTATACTCACTAGAACAACTACATTAAGCTGTAGTTGTTCTGGTGACTATTGTGTTCCTTTAAATTGCACAGAGGACCAGCAATTCATAACCGCATAAGATATGATTATATCATGCTCAGCCATAAGACGCTTTCAAGATTATATGGCCTTCAGCTTTCTCTTTCATGTCCATTCTCAGAAATAGTTGACAAGCCCTCCACTCAGTCATACTCAGAAATCCAGCCACTGCCTTTCATTTACAAAAGGGCTGCCAATTTCCTTAATATTTCATTTTCATTAATATAATTAATATAATTTTTCCCATTAAATAATCAATATGGCTAGCAGTTACTGATAACTTCCGAAAGCTGCAAACTCTTACAAACGTCACACTTCTATCATTCATGAAGCATTTTTTTTTACCATAATAAAAATTACAAATAATTAAAATGTAAAAAAACTAAAATGTAATTGCTAGAAGTAAATTAGTAGTTTCTTTATCGCGCACACAATGTAGCAAAAAAAATATATACAATAAAATGGATTAAAATTTTTTTTTTTTAATCCATATTCCTTGCATAACGCCTTTGGAGCACCAATACTGCCTACACCATCAGATATCCGTAGAAGGGGATTGTACCGTCCATGCACAACACAGCTGAGCTCAAGTAAATGTGAGTGGATACTACATAATATTCTGACTTGTATTTTAATATACTGTATTGCACTATTATTGTGTCTTTTGTCTGTTACCTTGAGGTTTAAAGTACTATACTATCTGAAGATAAATGTACGTATAATTTCTTGGGCGCGGTATACGCCATTTTTCTTGTTTGCTTGTTCATTCTAAAGGTTTGGGAAGCCTTGCACTGCAGCCCACACAAATAGATCCCTCCTACTATAGTGAGCGCCTATTACCTATTTTATTATTTATTTAATTGCCAATATATTGGAGTAAAATTATTATTTTTTTTTTTTTTCTCATATTAAACAAAACAAGTTTTGTTTAATAAGTAGTATGTAAGCCTGATCTATTCCTGTCCACATATTGCATTCAACTACATCTTCTTAGTATAGTGATACCCCAATGTATGCTTTTGGCACTATCCTGCAAACTACAGTGCCTATAAGAGACCTGACTATTTCAGTTTTTACAATAAGAATTTTCATAAAAGAATTTGACGCGACGCATTTTGGGGCATTGTAGAAGTTTGACAGTTCAAATTACCCCATAAATTCATACCATTTGTTAAAGTAGATATCACGGGTTATGTCATATGGCAGGGGTAGGCAACTTTTTAGCAGCACTGTGCCGATATAGGATTGTGATGTCCTGTAGCGTGCCGGTCCTATTTTTTTAAAATTGAAGTGTGTTTGCTGCCGTATTCTGCGTGTGTTATTTTTACTGTAATTGCTTTGTATCATTGTATTTGAGCTATTACATTGTATATTTTCATGAGTAGTTTATGGTATCGTGTATGATACATATGAATGTGGGCTGTGTATGGGGGCTGCTTGTGGAATTGTGTGTGTGGATGGATATGTCACATTGTGTGTTTGGTAGTGTGTGGGGGCTGTTTGGGATATTGCATGTGAGAGGCTGCATGTGGGGTTGTGTGCATGTATGTGGATTGTTAGTGGTGTTGCGTTTAAGCGGATTGTGTGTATGATTGTGTGTGGGCTGTCCGTATTATTTGTATGAGGGGAGGGTTATTCTGCATTTCTGTGTATATCTATCAGTGTGGGTGGCTTCCCTGGGTTCCAGTTGGGACCAGGCCGGCCAGATACAGGTCAATGACAGGAGCCGCAACAGCAACTGCGAGCTGCTCTACTACTGTGTGGGTTCCCATTCACAAGTGCTCGAATTAAGTGCTCCGAGATCACTTCCTCTACGTGCTGCAATGCATAAATTGAGGATTGTCCTTCACCACCTCTTCGTATTAGCAGATATCTGAAGTTTTACTGGGACTCCTGATACCTCGAGTGCCGTGCATGGCACTAGTGCTGTAGGTTGCCTACCCCTGTCATATGGTGTATTTTGAGCCTTATTATACAGTCATTTTAACATCAATTTCTTTCAAACTTGATAGTATTATTTTATTTTCACATTTATTTTTACAATTCTTTATTTAGTTTTATTTTAGTGTTTGGCAAAAGTACATGTTCATTTTTAAAACAGTGCGATTAACAAAAGTAAAGGGTTAACATAGTAAAGGTTATTCACATAGTAGTTAACATAGTCATGCATTTGGATTTGTTTTACGTTTCACCTGGCCTCGAACTAGAGTGCAGTGGAGGCGGTTTCTAGTGTCCAGGGCCAGGATGACTTTGTTTGGTAGTAAGAAATTAAAGCTGAATCGTGTAAAAAGAAAAACAAAGAAAGAAAACTCACAAAAACAGAGTAACATTTGGCAGGATGAGTACCTTGTCAAGGTAACTTGGTTTGATTGTGTTAGGAAAGTGAGGTGGTGGTACAGAGAAAGACAGGTTCTCTACCTGTTGTGTGGCTATGTTGATTTGTAGGTAAATTTATTTTTTACATGCACATTGCAATTTATTGATTTTGTCATCTTTATATGTTATACTGTGATAAAAAATTACTAAATTGTGCTCAGCTATATCGCCTGAGTACAGAATGACTTCCTCTACATCCTATTGTCAGATATTTAAGAAACTACAGAAAAAAAATGGAATAAAACTTTTAGCTACTCACCACTATCATGTGTAAACCTAAAAAGTATGGAATTATAGTGCTAATGCAAGAAAACATTAATTACATGTTAAGGTTTTACACATAAAATTAGTGTTTTATTGCATCATGAGCACTTTTGACAAATATATTGCATATTTGCTGTGAATTGATTGTTCACAGGTGTTGTGACACCTTAGAAGAGTGGATATTTTGCACTTATTTGTTTGTATTTTTAAGTGCTACACTATAATTCCATACTTTTTAAGTAAAAAAAGAACCAACCAAGCACACAATAAGTAAAGGAGGAAAGATGAAACAACCATACAAAAATTATTTATCCATTGCGCATAAAATTCTCTGGCATGGTTTAGAAGTTGTGAGATGGTTTTTTTTTATAAAGATTTGCTCAGTGTGTGTCTAGCTGATTTTAATTCTTTGTATGAAACCCTGCAGTTTTTGCTGGCACTCCACCGATTGATGCTCTGTTGCCAGACATTCAGTCTCTTGCTGTGGGTAATATTCCTTCTATTTTTATTGCACGCAAACAAAAACAAAAAATCATAATTGTGTTTACAGGCATTCTGTAAGTCTTCAATAAAAGGCTCACAACCAATAACCCTCAGACATATAATAGGGAATCTTTGTGTTCTACAATGTGCATTCCTGCAATACTTATTCCAAAATGAAGGAGTTGCACCCACTGTGACCAGTTAAGATATCGGAGCATACAGATACTCCAAACTAACACGTCCTACACAAAGAGGATGCCAAAAAAGGGCCAAGTTCAATCTACAACTTATCGCACTGGAGACTGGCCAATATGAATATTCTATATGGTGTGCAAGAATCAACACCAATTATCATATTATTCCTCTCTACAGCATTTCCACTACCTTTTTGTATATCTTCTTCCTTATTAAAGGACCACTATAGGCACCCAGACCACTTCAGCTTAATGAGGTGGTCTGGGTGCCTGGTCCATCTAGGGTTAACCCTTTTTTCTATAAACATAGCAGTTTCAGAGAAACTGCTATGTTTATATAAAGGTTAATCCAGCCTCTAGTGGCTGTCTCATTGACAGCTGCTAGAGGGCTTCTGCTTCCGAAAAAGGTAAGTTTAACACCTTCCTCTCCATCCAGCCCGGCAGGAGGGGGACCCTGAGGGTGGGGGCACCCTCAGGGCACTATGGTGGTCCTTTAATGTTTTGCGCTCTCATCCTTTTTCTCAAATCCCTCTCCAATAACTGGGACACCTTATGCCCAAACTACATGGAAACACTCCTAGGAAAAACGTAGCGCAGGACATTAGTATTAGTAATTTATGCCAAGAGAGTTCTTGGTTCCCCACTCCATTGGTTGACCCAAACCTTGGAAGTCTTTGTACCACTCTTACCATGTCCCGTTACTGTAGCTACGTCTATGGTTTTGTTGTTACTAACCCATCCACCCTCATTGAAATGATGCTGGCCTATATTGCTTTCATTATTTTACACTTTCATGATGGAATGTTTTGGGAATCCATTAGTCCACTGCCTGCTCAGCAAGACAGCTTACAGAATGCATGTTCTCTAGTTTAGGATCCATTACACTGTGTAGATCAAGGGGTCATGAGATATACACTGAAAACATTTCAAAGACACATCTCAGCCTCTTCCTTGTTCCTGCAAACTTCACTGCAGGACATCTGGGAGTTGCTCCAAACAATGGATGTTTAGAAAGTGCTTATTTTTGGTTTATTTTTTTAATCCTTCTTTCATAATGTGACAGGATGAAACGCATTGGATTTATTGTTTGGGACATTTAGTTCCTATCTTTTTTCCTTTTTTATTTTTATTGTTATCTCTTTTATTGTTTTACTTATTGAAGCTGGACCTCCCTTCTCATGGTACCACCGTTTGAGTGGAGATATGCTGATTATACACAGTTTCTATGTAAGTGTAACCAGTATCAATAAATGTATTTTGGTTGACAATACTGCTCTATATATTTTTCTCATTTGAGGATTGGAGTCTTTGTATATATTCTGATCTACACCTACAAGCCCTCCTTGAAAAGAAGTCCTTTTGCTGTTCTGAGATACCCTTTAAGAGGGAGATAAGCACAGATCGACAATACTGTTTGTAAGTTCTCTACCTTCGGGATTGAGCTTGGTGCTTTGTACATACTTCACCATTGTATGATTTTTTTCATATTTTTCGATTTGCCAAGACTTGTTCTATTACATACAGGTTGTATGTTTTATTACATTGGTTTGCTACCCCTTTAATTTATACTATCACCCTGTTTTCGGTGTGGTATATATTTCTTGGTTTGTTATATATTATATTGGGTGTATGTGAGGTACACTTTTTGGGTGTTTGGCATTACCATTTGGTCTTTTGGGATATTATACAGTATCTTTTTTATACATCGTGTTATAAGAAGGGTTTGGTTTTATCAGTGCTGCCATGCATTTTGTTGTATTTATACACTATGATGACCAAACATCTTTTCCACAACTTTCTACTAACCTGCAAAGTCCAGCTCTATTAGTCATAACCAGTTCATAAGCTTCCCCGACTTGCACATCTTGCAAGCAGACAGTGTCTGGCTGTTCCGCCTTGCATATACCAAGTGGAATAAATTCAAAGAACGCAGAGCGTGGGCACAGCACATAACGTGAGGCAGCATTCTCTGGCCAAAGATTCACTCCAATCAGCCCTGAGGAGGAGTCACATTAGCTGGGGATAAGAAGGTGTTGTGTGAAGTCAGAAAAGAAGAGTATGCAAGAGAGTGAAAGAGCAGAAAAGGTGAAAAGAAAGCGATAATCTGATTTCAGGAAATGGTAAAAGGCAAGTGAGAAAATCATTGTGTGTCAAAAAGAGAGGAAATGAGAAATACAAGCATGAAAGAAAAACGAAACTTATGGAGGTAACATGAAAGATACAGTATACAAACACATGGTCAAAATAAGAAAAACAAAGACTTGGGCTGCCCAGAACTCTGTCTGGACTACCTAATTTGAGTCCTGTGTAAAATATGTCTGTCATGAGTGTGCATTGTGTGCGCTGGCAACAGATGTAACCAGCTACTTCCCTTGCAGGCAGCGCTGTGAGCACCCCTGCAAGCAGAAACCTGTTGAACTGTGTGCGTGCAGATTTCACGCACATAGGACAACAAATTGCCTTAACAGAAATGTTTCCCCTCCATTATATAAGTCTCTTCAGTTCTGCTTCCACTTCCCTTGTCCACAATCCCTCCTCAGCTCAGCACAAGCACAATCCATGCATGCCTTCTGAGTCTGTAACCTGTGAAATCTGAAAATATCTTTCAGGCTATAATGTGAGGTTGATGTACCATCAGCATGTACAATAGTGTGAATGTGCATGAGGTATACACTGACTCAAATAAGCTCTCAATGTGCATAAAGGCAAGAGAACTCACTGAAATTGCTGGGAGGGGTAATCTGGGGTACACCATACTAGCACAGCATTTATTTTACCTTACCTTCTGCTGAACAATATGTTGGAGAATAAAATGGGATTCCTTGACATACTGTATTCTTTAGGATCTGTGTATCCAGTTCACTGCTGCCAGATCCCACAGCCATAACCACCTGCAGTTTTGGCCAGATTCTCTTGGCAAGCCCACAAAAGCCATTCTCAAATTGGGTTTTTAGATCAGCAGCTCGGTTGGAATCTTGAATTAAGCAAGCTTCCAAATGTCTTCTTATCTCCTGAGGAATTTTCAAGTCTGTGTTGAGATACCCTCGCTGAATATCAGTAACCATTGTCTCCCAATTACTCTCCATGAAAGAGAACACTTCACGGAGAATCCAGGAAAAGTTGGCTTCAAGCACTGTCACACAAGGGTCCTTCAAGGCAAACAGTATTTGTGTGTACATCACCTCATGGTGAGTCATGCTGGGAAGTGGTGTGGGAGTGCAGCACATGTCCTTCAAGAACAGGGAAGATGAGGCATATGACCATGTACTGAAATTTTTTAGTGTCTCAAATTTATTCTGGTTTGCTGGGAAGTGGAACCGGGCTACATTTTCTAAAGCTCCAGGGAAGATGTTCTGAATGACTTCAAGACACACCATTGTACCCTAGGAAAAATAAATAAATATTTTATTTAGATCTCCCCTATAAGTCAAATCCCTCTTAATCCCTTCACAACCAAACACAAGTTAAAACTGAATGAAATTTAGTCTATAAAGTCTCACTCGTCTTCATTTATTCTATAGAAATGACTAACATATGTAGAAGGTACTAATCATGGATGTAATACTTGCAAGTATACAGAAAATGTAAGCCCATCCACTGTTTCCAAACAGTAACAGAAGTTTCAATGGTTCATATAATTCCTACAGTCGGGGAGGGGGGAAGCATGAATCGACTCTACCATTTAACTGTCAGCATTCCAGATATTGACAAAGACTGCTATATCAGTTTTAAATACCTTTATTCTAGAAATATATGATTTAGCTGTATTTACTGTATGTGGGCATTATGCAAAAATGCAGACATTCTTTTTAAATTCTGCTGACATTAAATGAAGGACATGCAAAACACAAACTTATCGAGTCAAAGATCCTTTATCAATGTGAATGGCATTTCACACTAAAGTGTCTGTGACCAGACATGTCTGTATTGCATGTCCTTCATTTAAACTACAGCACTGAAATGCATTTAAAAAAATCTTGTATGTGCTGGTTCGGTTCTAGAATTTTGGATTTATACTATCTGAGCCACTATAGGAGACATAGTGGACTGTGAACTAGCTGCATAAAAGTCAATGTACACAATTTAAATTGTTTTTTTTTGTATATCTTGATGGCACCTAATGTTTGATACTACGTTATCTTTTTCCCTCAATTTATCTTTTTCCCTCAATTTATATTGTATATATGCTTCCATTTTCAGTTAGCTGCTAGTAACGCCTTCAGGGTGCTTATTTATCTAGTTTTGACATACCTACTGTATATTAAAAAAAAAATAGCATTATTGCTTCTATACTAAATTTAAGACCCTGTGCAAAATATTGCAAGATAAAGAACACTTTTTACTGCTCTGCCGACCCCTGCGACCGGGGTGCCCGCTGGCATTGTGGTGAGACCCAAGCCGCGTGGAGCAATGAAGGGACCCATCTGATGGTAATGGATGACCCCACTGATGACATCAGAGCGCTCACTGGGAGGAACCGTCACTGCCTCCCAGCATATACAGGGCCGCGCGGGAGGAGAACAGGGTGTCAGCCACTGGAAAGTCACCCTCCTGCACCAAAAGGTAGGAAACAGGAGGGTGTGTCTGTATGTGAATATCTGTATATCCATATGTGTGTGTGTGAGTGAATGTCTGTATCTGTGTGTCTGTCTGCATCTGTATGTATGTGCGTGAATGTCTGTTTATGTGTGTCAGAATGTGTGTTTGTCTGTATGTTTGTATGTATATCTGTGTCTGTATGTGTATCGGCATGTGCCCCTATGTATCTGTATGTGTATCACTGTTTATACCTGTATGCGTATCTATATGTGTGTCTGTATGTGTATCTGTTTTTCTGCACGTGTCTGTATGAGTATCTGTCTGCATGTGTGTCAGTGTGTGCCCATATGAATCTGCATGTGTGTCACTGTTTGTATCTGTATGTTTGTCATTCTGTGTATGTGTATCTGCATCTCTCTGTATTTGTGTCTGTGTATCAGCATGTGTGTCAGTGTTTGTATCTGTAGAAGTGTAATTCTGTGTATCTGAATGCATGTCATTCTGAGTGTCTGTGTATGTATCTGTATGTGTTATATTATACAAATGGAGGGGGGAGGAAAGTTGTATGGGGAGCAGCCCCAACAGCACTAAGTGAGCTGCTTTTATTTGAGAAAGGTTTAACCCCTGAAGGTAAGCGTTTTTCCTGGTGCCTACTCGTACCATAACAACTTTATTTAGAATAAATAAAGACTTAATTTAGATTACATTTTGGGAGTATTCTTTTAGGAATTCAAGGTAAAACATTGCTAAACATTGTTACACGGAGAGCCACCACTGGAGGCTCTTCCGCTTCACGTGATGCATACGAAATCATTGATTCAATGCTTTCCTAGAGGGAAGCATGGATGCAAGCACAGCATTGATTGCGCATGTGCATCAGGTCCCTAAGAAAAGGGTAGGTAAAAAGCTTTTGTATTCTTAACTAGCTTTAGTGATCCTTTAATATCTCCTATAGAGATTAATAGGAGATGAGAAACACATAGTAATGCCTGGTTTTAGTGTTTAGACATTAAAAACTAATTATCAGGTTTAAATGCAGTCACAAACATACTCTACTTTACATCAGTTTCTCTAGGTAAAATGTGGAAAAGACATGTAAACAGCAATCTCCAAGAGACCGATACATCTGTGCAAAAATAATTTTTAAAACTTAATTTGTTGGTTAGCCTGCAATGGAGTAGACTCTTACTATTCCACTTAGGAAGCAAGGTGTATATGCATCCTGGAATTGTCCTTACATGCAACTTTAATGGAATTACTCTCACAATCCTCCTTTGGGTTAAAAACAAACTCTGGATAACCGTGGCTCAGACCTGGTTTTCTGCAACTTTCATCATGTCAGGCAAGCCTGTGACCCTTGACTGTGACTCACAGCCTCCATGAAAAAAAATAGTTTTATTTTTAATCAGCTTACAGCATAGTGTGCTTACTTTAGAATAAATGTATGTAGCTCTTTTACTTGTACTTTAACCACACACAGAAGGCTCTAATGTGAGAGTAAGGAACCTTTTAGTAGTACTGTGTTGAACTAAAATCTTGAAGTCTCTTGGCATGTCGGTCCTATATTCTTAAATTGAGGTGTGCATGTTGCAGTGTTCTGCATATCTATTGATAGTTTGTGGTATTGTGTATGATACCTATGAATATGGTCTGTATGGGGGCTGCCTGTGAAATTGTGTGTGTGGATGATATGTTTGGTGGTGTGTATACATGTGGGGCTGCTTGTGGTATTTCATGTAGGAGGCTGATTGTGGGGTTGTGTGCGTGTATGTGGATTGTCAGAGGTGTTGTGTTTGTGGAGACGGTGTGTGTGGGCTATTTGGGCTTTCTGTATACCTAGCATTATGGGTTGCTTCCCTGGGGACCGGACTGGTGCAGGTGCAGGTCAAGGGTAGTAGCTGCTATAGCTGCTGCAGGCTGCTTTACCCCAGTGGAAATTCCAGTTCACAAGTGCGGGAAAGAAATAATCAGAGATCACTTCCTGTAAGTGCTGCAATGCATAAATTGATGATTGTCCTTCACCACCTGCAATCACCGCTAGGATGGCACTAGAAGATAGCCTGTTTAGCTCTGGCAGCCTTGAGTGCCGTGCAAAGGCATGTCGAGTGCCATGCATGGCACATGTGCCACAGGTTGATGGCCCCTGGTCTTGTGGGAAAGTAACAAAGTAGCATATAAGAAATGCTAAATTAAATGCATTGTGCAATAAGGGAAACTAAAAAATGAAGACTCTTTTTCATGAAATGTGTAGGAGAAATGTGTAAGCCTCAGCCGGGAAGGAGTGGCTAGGGCTGTTTTAACAAACTGATTTCACGTCTAAATGACAGTGAATTAAGCAGTGAGAATTCAGAGGCATGATCTATACCACGCAACAACTTAATTAAACTAAAATGTCCATTTAAGAATAAAATGCTACCACCAACTCCTGAATCTATATCATCACACGATTACTTTCTGCACACATAAACTTTTAGCTATCTGCACATCTTAACAAATACATAACATACATACACTGCTAGTAAAACATATGATCCTGGCTTCACCTTTGCGCTTCATGTCCAGTCTGTTGCTAAAACCGGTCGATTCCAGCTTAAAAACATTGCCCGCATACGCCCCTTTCTTACGCAAGATTCTGCCAAGTAGCTTGTTCCTGCTCTAGTAATCTCGCATGGATTACTGTAATTCTCTCCTAATAAGTCTCCCCAGAAGCCGTACTGCCACCCTACAATCTGTGATGAAAGCTGCTGCCAGGCTGATCTTCCTCTCCTGTCGCTCCTCTCACACCTCACCCATCTGTCAAATCCTTACACTGGCTTCCTGTACCCTACAGGTGCCAAGTTAAATTACTAACCCTAACTCTAGCCCCTCTTACATTTCTTCACTGATTCATAGGTATGCCCCCACTCTGTCTCTCTGCTTTACTGGTGACCTTCTCCTGTCTGCTGCTCGCACCCTTACTGAAAATTCACGCCTGCAAGACTTCTCACGGGCGGTTCCTTTCCTTTGGAACAGCCTGCCTACCGCTGTCAGACTAGTCTTCAAGCCTTTAAGAAGTCCCTCAAAACCCATCTTTTCAGGATTGCTTATGGAAGGTCCACTGGGAGTGACAGTGAAGAGCACTGTGTTGATACACTCTTCCATCCCTGCATATTGAGCCTTCCAGGCAAAATTAACAGATCCTAGGAAGAGGGGTCACATGAACACAGACAGCTGACATGGGAGACTGTTGACTGATGTAGAGGGAAATAAATAAATAACATGTAATCACTTTGTTAGAGCCTCACTTTCTACAACTCTATTGGTATATGACCCTATAAATTACTCCCTTACTCACCCCTTGAATAACCTCTGTTACGAACGTCAGTGGTTATGGAGTTTGCCTATTCCCTTTCGTATTGCTGCGCATAAGTGATTATAGCTACAGCTAGAGTCTAGAGGAATAGTGAAGATGAATGCAGCTTCCAAGATGAATCTCCCCAGCCAATAAAAGGTTACCCAAGCATGAGCCTAGACTTCATGAAGGGTACAACAGGAATAATGTTTTATTGATGCCACCATAGGCGTGCACAGCCTATTGCATTAGGGTGTGCACCCTAAAGCACAAACACATGCCGCGTGTATGTATATATCACACACACACATACATACACTGCTGTGTGTGTGTGTGTGTGTGTGTGTGTGTGTGTGTGTGCTGCGTGAGGGTGGTTTGAGGGCACTGTATGTGTCCGTGCGCGGGCGCTGTATGTGTGCGCACGCTGTATGTGTGCGTGCGTGCGCTGTATGTGTGTGTGATTGTGGGGGGTGGAGGTGGGGGTACATTACTTAATATCCTACATAAGGTAAGAAGGGAGGGGGGATTCTTGTTCCTGCTGCTTTCCCTGGTGGTCCAGTGGAGAGTGAACTCTAGCCCCTATGGGGCTAGAGTTCACTCTCGTGAGATCTGAGCGTTTCCACGGCAACGCTCAGATTTTGCGAGAGGAACCCGGCGGAGCTGCTGGTTGAGCTCCCCGGGTCCTCTCCTGCCTCCCTCCATGCTGCAGTGGGGAGGGAGACTGAGAGCAGAGCGCGCCGGCTCTGCATGAGCCAACAGGGGAGATCCTGAGATCTCCCCTGCCGGTCTCACTCCATGGGGGTGCCACGGGGATTAGGGTGTGCACAGGCACACGCCTATGGATGCCACACTGGCTTTTATGGAAATCCTCTTGCAAGAGGACCTCCCACAGTAAACAAAATGGACAACCAATGATAATGCAGATTTACAGTAAAACCCTCCCTTCCTCTGTCTGTGAGATAAGTAGATAAGTTAAAAGATAACCCAATTATCTCCAGGCAAAGGACACACAATTTCCCCAAAACTTGGAACACCCCTTTACACACAAGGTATCTCCACAAATGACATGTCCCCTGATAGCCCTGATCTGGGAGACCAACATATTAAAATTTCACCCAGATCGGTTCAGGGGTTCTCAAAAAGTGTGGAAGTCTTAGTTCACCGACCGCACACGAGGCTCCTGCCTAAAACAGTTCCATGAATTCAGTGTGTGCAGCCAGTCAATTTCAAAAAGTACATAAAAATGAATAAAACCATGAACGGAGCCTCCTGGCTCATAGGAGCGATTGTTCCCCTTGTTCGGGGGAACCAAACTACCGAACGGCGCTCTCCTAGCTGTTCGGCAACAAAAGGAAGCAGGTGTTCGAATGATTTCAGCGGTGTTCAGAAAGTCGAGTGTCCGATTTTAGTTCCAGACACTCGACAACCAAGTCCCGCTGCTCCCTTTCGTGAAAACAAGATGGCTGCCGTTTTCTCTTCCACGTGGCGTTCGACTATACGAACGGCGGCCACCCAGAGAGCGCTCAATTGACAGTTCCCTTTGTAGATAATGAGCCAGGAGGGTGGTCTGCGTTCGGTAGTTTAACCTACCGAACCAATAAAACTTGAAATAAACTAATGACAGAAGAAAATCCCGATATCAAGTCTATTTTCTTCACAACCTCTATTTTAAACAACTTTCTCAGGTAAGCTCCATGAAACTTCTATGTATACACACTCTTCCACATAACCCTTTTTGTGATAGTTCATCCCCTCAAGACAATTTTGGTGTCTAAAACTACCTGTAGAAAGTTTTCATTGATGATGCTGGTTTTCGCAGGAACTACAGTGCATGATCCTGATGTTCCTGCTGTAGCGACAAATGTGAAAGGTTCTGATGGCAGCAAAATATTATCTTCTCCCTGTAACATCCGATCAATGTAATCTTTATAATGGTGGTAACGCGTCAGAGGGTGAACACTCTTAAAAGAGGAGACATCTGAAGAGGAAAAAGAGTGAATGTAATGGGAAAACATATTTTAAATTTTTTGCACAGATAATCACCTATGCTCTGTACTATGGCAGATACATTCTTAAAGTGGCGTTGTCACCTTAACAAGATTACTGTGCAGTGGCCAAAATGTTAGGTAGGTTTTAGCACTGTACTCTAGTTCATGCAGGTGAGTACAATACTGAGGATCCAGCAAGACCACACAATCCCCCATATAAGGAGCCTTTTGTCAAAAAAAAAAAAAGAAAAAAAAAGCCTTTTGTGTAGGAAAAATACACACGCTTTCTACTTTGCCTAATTATATCTTTTGACAGGGTTGGAGTTTCAGAAAGTTCAACACAGTCTTTATGAGAGTTGTATAAAGATTTTACCTTCATAAAATGTTCATTGTTTTTGACGAATGGAACTACTGCCTGACCTGCATAAACTATAAAGGAGGTCAGTTCACTTTTGCAGTTTATGGGACACTCATAGCACTCCCAATGCAAATAAAGGTACAGTATTGCTTAATAAGTGTAAAATACTTTGAATATCAGGGGAAAGACAAGCATCTTTATTTAATAATTAAAAGCATTTATAAATCGGGGCCCACTTCAAGCTGAAATATCCATTAAACTACAGAAGCACAAATTATGAAGTAGCTGTCAAGCTTTTAGTAAATTCTAGTTCTAGGTTCCTCTTGCAAAGTGTTTTGATGAAGGTGTGGAATTTTCACTAGATATTTTTACATATTGCTGCCGTGATAAGTTACGTGCAAGTAAACAGGGACAGGACAATATAGTCATTTCATATCATTGAATTGATTATAGTGCCTCCATTCAGTTTTAAACCATGTTCAAACAATTTAACACTACATAAGTGTCCTTAACTGTCCACAGCTCAGCCACCACTGGAGGTATGACTAAGGCAGAGAATACCCACTCCCTTTTAGCCATACCAATTCATGGACACTGTAATAGGATGAAAGTGGTCATCTGACACCCTCAGCCAATCCCAACTGTACACTGCTGCTCAAGCTAATACTGCCTCGTTATATCAAACAGCATACAATGGATGGGCTGAATTGAATGCTGGCACCATTAAACTCCATACACTATAACCACTTCAATGATATTGAGCATTAACAGTGCATATGGCATTCCTTTCAAAGGACACTAAACTGTCCACATAAATAAACCCCAATGAAAATATGCATGCATTTATTCGTTTTTTCATGGGGGTTTATCTAAAAACAGCTTGCAAAAGCTGGGGTTCTTGTGTCTGTAGCATTTGCAAGCCCTCCCCTTCTAACCCTGCCCAGACTTTCTACGGCTGTCCAATCACAGACTTCCAAATGCAGCTCAATGATACGTTTTTTTGTAAGGCAGGTTGCTCTCTTAAGTTAAGTTTAGATCCACTTAGCTAACCAAACCAGGAAGTAACAGGACCTGTTGTCTGACAGCCAGCAAGTTTAATTTATAAAAGTGCCAATTTCCATTGAAATCTGCATTTTTTGTAAAACGAAAAAAAAAAAAAATGGAATGCTCTTGAAGGATCCTATTAATGCATTATTTAGCTTGTCTAACAGTTTCAGTCTCCTCATTTAAGTATAACATTTAAGTTATGTTTCAAAGTCAATGTAATAATCATGGGTTAATCTTTACCTTTAATTTCATTAAAGTGGTACTCCTTCCCACGCTCTGTGTCCACAAGCTTCTGCAGTATTTCCAGTAATAACATCTCTTGGGTGCCTTGAGCATTTTTTGTATCTCTCTCTAGAATCTGGCGCTGTTTTTGCTTGGACAGGGCACAAAGGCAACGCTGTCTCCGAAACTTAGACAGCCATCCTTCCAGTGTCCAGCCTTTCCAGATGACCAGCAGGTAAATAATTCCGATGGACCCCAGAAACAGGGTGGAAATAATCAAAATAAGCATCCTAATCAAAAGATAGACAAGTGAAAATAAAATGTTAACACTTACCATTAAACAGATTCATACTCACATTAAAAAAAAAATTAAAAGTCTCTACACATTGCCTGGTCAGTCATAAGGTTGTATATGCAATGCTTTGTTCCGCAGAAAGTTACTATTGCAGACTTAGAGATGAGGATGGTACATTATATGTGATGCTTCATTCTAATTTGAACACATTGGTTGGAGGCCTCTTCTGTAAAACTACAGAGGGGGTGTTTAATAGACAAGTAGTAACAATTCTGTAAAAAGTAGTTTATTCAGAAAGCCGTGTATTGTAATGAATTAATAGTAAACACTTGTAATATTTATACCAAATGGACAAGTTGGCAATATTGTGACATTTAGGATCCACCCCTTTCCCCCCAGCTGTTTTGACCTTAAAGGCACACTCCACTGCCCATTTTTTTTAAATCACTGTTTAGTAGATATACCTCAAATGAAAACATGCATGCATTTAATTATACATATTTTCATTAAGGGAATATCTAAAAACAGCTTCCAAAGCTGCAGTTCTTGTGTCTGTTGCCTTTGCAAGCCCTCACCTACTAACCCAGTCCAGACTTTCTTTGGCTGTCCAATTGCAGACTTTACAATGCAGGTGCTCTTTGCAATTGTCTTCCTCTTGAGTTTAGCTGCCAACGGCTTTTTAGCTGTATAAAGTGCATTAGGGGTCCGGAGAGTTCCTTTAATTTAGAAAATTCCTGTTTCCCTTTACTACACTTTTCAGTCCAGTGAACAAACCCTGAATAGCAAATTGTGGAAACTTAAATAAACACTTTAGTTTTAGGAATATAACATTGTATTCCTAACACTATAGTGTACCTCTGCCCACCCCTCCTCACCATAAAATGAAGTGTTAAAAAAACTTTTTTACACTCATCTTATTCCAGCAATGAGATCCCTTGGCACTGGCCCCGTCCATTCCTACGTTAGCGCCAAAGGGGAACCGAATGCACCACTTAATTCAAAGCTTTCATTGAAGATGCTGGACGTCCTTGTGCAATGCATTAAAGGGACTCTGGCACTGCAGGTCCCCTCTCCCTCCCACCCCCCATCCCAGGTTGCTGAAGGGGTTAAAACCCCTTCAGTGACTTACCTGTATCCAGCGCCGATATCTCTCGGCGCTGGTTCAGAGTCCGCCCACGCTCCTCCCCCGCCAACGTCATCCGGCGGGGGAGACCTATTGTGCATGCGCGGCTGGCGGCAGGGGAGACCTAATGCGCAAGCGCGGCAATGCTGCACACGCGCATAAGACCTCCTCATAGGAAAGCATTGAAAAATGTTTTAGATTGCAGGGTTATGGGGACAAGGACAGTGCACTTAGAGCACTTCAATGAAATGAAGTGGTCTGGGTTCCTATAATGTCCCTTTAAGAAAGGACTTGCAAATTGTAAAGTGGCTCTCTCTGTATATTTTGCAAAGACACAAGATGAGAAATCCCACTTGTGTGCTGACCCGAGGGAAAAGGGTAATGGCACAATTATTTTCTTTCTTCGGCTTCTGGCAATTCATCTGCCAGGATACCATGTCACTGCTGTACTCTCCAAGGGTACAGCCAGAGCTTCCAGCAACCATCACTAGCAATGAATGTGGGAACTGACAGATCATGACGGAAGAAGCTCAGCCTTTTGACAACTATTTGTTCGACCAAAAGACAAAGTAGCCCCTACATTGTCTTATGATTAGTTTTGATTGCACTGATATTCCAGCACCGTCAATTTTATTATTAAATTTAACATAAAAGGTATTTTTTATGTTGTGGTGGTAGATCTAAGTAAAGGTTGTGACTTTTTCTTTATAGTTTTATTTTTATTCACAGGTTTTTCCAGGACATTCACACATATAATAGTGCTGCATGAAATTTAAAAGGAGTGAGCTGTAGCTCACTTCTGGAAGGGACAATTCCTCTTTAAAAGTTTACATCAAACAAAAAAAACAGGTTTTAACTAGACGGTTTTTAGTCAAAGTAATTCCTGCTATCCTGGCACCCACTCCCAAAAAATAGCAGGCTATAGAGTGGACTGAGGGGGTACATGGGCGACACCGAAGGGCTGACGTTGCTAACGACAGACGTCAAACATTCATAGAACTAATAACAGCCAGCACAGAACGCGAGGTGGAAATACACCTCCAGCAAGGAGTTAAACTCTGCACGTGCTGCGTTTCATAGCAAAAAACTGCGCATACAGCCACCCGGCACCATGACCACTTCAAATGACTTAACTGGTTATGGTGCTTGGAGTAACACGTTAAGTTACAATAGCCAAACTGAAAAAGTAGACATCCTCCGGCTTATCTACTCTGCACTATAATTTGTAATAGTCCACAATCTCTGGTTTTGTGAATAAACTCCTTTCTGATTAAACCTTGTGCCACAGCTACAGTAAATGTGCAAATGTTTACTTACTACACAGAGAATTGCAAGCAAGTGAAAAGCCAAATTACTAAATTAGTCTCAAAGAGTCAGGCTTTTTAACAGAATTTGAATTTTTTTTCAAAATTATAATTTTGCTATTTGTTTTTCCAATTTATTTATGTGTTTAGTAAATAAGCCCCAAAGGAATTAAACCTATTTAATAAAAGGCATTTCACCCAAAAAGTTGGTGTATAATGGCCTTAAAAATACCCACCAAAGAAGGTAGACCAGGGTAATAATGGTTTTAAATCAAGTTCACACAAAATAAAATATTACAATTTCGTTTAAAATATCAACAAGGCGCCATTAACTTTCAACTAGTAAGTACCCTCCAAGCTAAGATGATACTTACTCTTTTAGAATCCTAAATCCTTACCTCCACTTCCCCACTCAGTGCGATGTCACCCAGAGATCACGCCCATCTCTCCTCCTTACCCATGTCAGACAATAACAAAAAGAAGCCATCTTTGTTACGGGAACGTGCATGAACGTCGTGCACTGGCCGCAAGTCTACTTTCTCTTCGGCATGGCATTGTGGGTGGCCATATTTACTATTGGCGAGTATTATAGTGTGCAATGAAGAGGACGATCAATATCCATCTTTAGTGGTGGAAGAGCAGGTGATTTGACTGGTAGAACTTTGGGGCAAAGAACTTTGAAGCTCGAAACAAAAATAGTACATAAGAGTTATGAATAATTGCAAAACTGACCTAAAACCTCCTCTCTTGATTTCATAAGCCTGGGTAACCATGCCAAACTGAACTAAAGGGGAATAAATAAATGTAAAAAAAATAATATATAGATATATATATATATATATATATATACACACACGTAATTTGCTGGCGCTATATAAATAATAATATACTAATAATAATATATATATATATACACACATATATACAAGTATAGTGGCACTCACCCTTTCAATGAATCAGTAAAAAAATGCCTTGGTGCAATCCCACGCTGGATATGTAAAGCAAAAAGGAAAGAGATGCACTCTCAGGTCTTTGTAGAAAAAAAATCGATATTATTTAATAACAGGTAACATACATTTGATCGACGTTTCGACCTCTTCAGGTCTTCCTACAAAGACCTGAGAGTGCATCTCTTTCCTTTTTGCTATATATATATATATATATATATATAGATATATATATATACACACGTAATTTGCTGGCGCTATATAAATAATAATATACTAATAATAATAATATATATATATATAAGTAATTTGCTGGCGCTATATGAATAATAATATACTAATAATAATAATATATGTATATATATATATATATACAGAATTTGCTGTCACTATATAAATAATAATATAATAAAATATATAGAGAGAATTTGCTGGCCCTATATAAATAATAATATAATGGGGCGTGGCTTGGCAGCCAAAGAAAATGGCAGCATAAACTTTCCCTCCGCCGGGGTCCTAACACAAAAGCCCTCAATAGACAGCCTGCCTTGCCGACATGGGGAGATCAAACAGAGCCCCACAAACCGGGAAGACCCCAGATACCAAGAAGGGACAGCTCACCTCGTCCCTGCGCCAGTTCCTGGTGACCCTCGCGGACTTCACAACACAGCTGCATGGTGCCGACGTCTCAATGGTGTTGGAGGATTCCGCGCCTTCCTCTCTGGCATCTGACCTGCAAACGGGAGGCACTGAAAGGGTCCCATGGCTGGATCTCCTGAGGGAGCCACGATCCGGCAGGACATCCAGGCACTGAGAGCAGATATGCAGGGCCTGTCTGACCGTGTGACCCACGTGGAGGCTGCCTGTGACAGCCTGAGAGCAGCCCAGACTACCTTAGCAGAAGCTGCAGACACCTGCTCTGAACAGGTACGTGGCATGGCCCTACACATAGAGGATTTAGACAACAGGGGGCGCCGCAATAATATTAGGCTGCGCGGCCTCCCTGAAACCGAAGACTCCCCTCTCCAACTGTGGGAATGCCTCCTGGAAATTTTTAATGGGCTGCTGGGCCATGAACTCCAGGCGCCAATAGACTTTGTGAGAGCGCATAGAGCCCTCCGTCCAAAGGGCCCACCAGATAGCCCAGCCAGGGATGTTATTTGCTGCTTGCCAAACTTTGCCTTAAAGGAGACCAGCCTTAAACAAGGAAACAACATATGCTCACTTACCGGAACCAAGACCTGCAACTCTTCTCGGACCTGTCGCCGGATACCCTGACCTACCGACGTGCCCTGAAACCGCTCATGAGAGTACTGGTTACTCAACAGACCGGTTCAGGTGGCAGATGCCCACGGGATTGCTGGTTCACACACCGAGAAGTCCATTCCTGGTCCGACTACATAGCGCTGGGCACGGAGCTCCAACTACCCGCTATCAACATGAGGTGGCCAGACCCATTGGACATCTACAACGCCTCAAGAAACCCCTACCCAAGACCGGCGCTGCCGCAGCGCACCCGGTGGGGACGCCAGGAGGCCACTAGACCCTTAGGTTCCCCCGCTAGTGGGCATGACTCCCCCCCACCCCCGCACCAGGCTGACCCTCTCTAGTGCAGGAAGTGCCTCAACCTGACTTGGACACCGTCCCCATCCTCAGGTACAAACTTGGCCGACCGGCATATTGGACATCTCACACTTGCACCAAAAAAACAATACATATATATATATATATATATATATATATATATATATACATATTCCCCCCACCCCCCTTTTTTTTTTAACGTAAAATATTACATATTTTTTGGCTGAAGATACAATGCAGATCTGAGTGACCCCTCTTGCCTGGTTGTGCGGACAGCTGCTGAACCCTATGTCACCTATGGCCTGGCCGTGCGGGGGGGTTGCCTTGCACACAGTGGTGATCTGGTTGGGTGGGAGGGAGGTCTGGGGGGCCTGGGTTTGCGGGGACAAGGACGAGGTAATTGTCTATGGAATGTCTGCGCTCGGGCTCCTCCTCGTTCCCTTTTTTTTTTCTTTTTCTTTTTCTCTTCTTCTCCTCCTCCCGTAAACCTTGCCGGAATAATTGCTTGTATTTGCATTACATAGAATTGTATACTGCATTGTATAGTACTTTGTATAGGTGCCTGCACACACAACTTGGTGACCTGCTGACCCCAGAGCTACGCGGTCCAGTAACACACTGATGGGTGAAGCCCAATAGGGGATTACTTACCCTTGATACTCCCACGGGCGGCACAGGTTTTCTAGAGCACACCCAGAGGAGGAGGAACCGCCCTATGGGGCTACACTATATCACGAAGGGGACCACTTGGGGAGGCGCGCGTCTCCCATCCCCCCACCGGGACCCGGGGGTGTGTTCTCACAGGTACACAACAGTAACACCGAGAGGTTATAGTTCCCGTTGGCAGTGGTGTATCCTGGTTTTGTGCTCCCGTAGGCAGGACAAAACTCAGATGCCCCCCCACCCCACCTTCTAAATACACACACACACAGTCAGACACACACACACAGACACACACACACACACAGACACACACACAGAGTCAGAAAGACACATACACAGAGTCAGAAACACACACACACAGTCAGACACACACACACACAGTCAGACACACACAGTCAGACACAAACACACACACACACAGACACAAACACACACTCACATTAACACTTTTTTTTTATCCCCCCCCAGGGGGGTTCTCTTTATCCCTGGGGTCCAGTGGCTGCCGGTCGGTCTGATGGGTTGGCTACTGGGCGGGCGGCACTGGCGAGGGAGCTCTTCCTCTGAGCGGTCTGCTCAGCTCCATCCCGCGACTCAGAGTGAGGCTGGGAGCCGCAATATGACGTCATCTTCCGGCTCCCAGCCTCACTCTGCGGCGCGCGAGGGAGCTGAGCACAGTGCTCAGAGGAAGAGCTCCCTCGCCAGCCGCCCGCCAGCGCCGCCCGCCAGCGCCGCCCGCCAGCGCCGCCCGCCAGCCCAGCCTGTCAGTTAGCCGCAAGGCTAACTAGGCATTTGCCTTGGGCATTTGGGGGCGGCTTTTTTTGCGGCTAATACGTCCATGCCCGTTGGGACTTGACCATACTCCCGGGAGCCACCCCAAGGTGATGACCTGTTCGCCCGACACTAGGGTGACAGGAATAAACCACGTTTTTTGAGTTACAACAGTTATCGTCTATTGTTCATCCACAGTGGTTGACAAGGCGCCTTCCACTACCCGAGAGATCGGTGTCTTCTGTATGGGGTATCGTCCGTCCAGTCTCTGGGACGGAGGTTCCCTACCCCCCTGACACCGGTGCCTCCGCTCCCCCCGGGGGGACGACCCCTTCCGTGCCCGGGGTTCCGGGGAGGCACCCACGCTACCGCACAACAACGGGTGGGGCTCTATACCATCGCACAAAGCTACCTGCTGCCCTACTCTGCTCCCCCTATCCTCGGCCCTAGCTACCTGAGTCGCCCCCCCTCTAAACAGACGGGGGTGACACAGATGCTCGCGGGACCTGATAACATGGCCTCGCACACACGCACCAGCCCCACTCAACTTCCTATCCCTAAACGCCAAGGGTCTCAATTACCCCGAAAAGAGGTCACACGTCCTACGCCTATGTCAGAAAGCTAGAGCCCATGTGGTCTATTTCCAAGAAACCCACTTTAAACTTGACTCCGCACCAAAACTCTTTAACCACATATATACAGACGGGAAATCCAAGGGGGCAGCAATAGTCATGCATAAATCCATACCCTTTGTGGCTGGCTCGACCATGACAGACCACGCGGGCCGATACGTGTTCGTCAGGGGACGAATCCTGGACGAAACCTATACTTTTGCCAACATTTACGCTCCAAATACGCGACAGGACAAATTCCTGCGGGACGCACTCCGCGCCCTTCATGACTTCACGACGGGCTGTCTGGTTCTAGGGGGGGATCTCAATGTTGCCCTGCACCTGACAGTGGACGCATCCAGAGGCCACTCATCGACACCTCTTCCCACATTGCTCAAAGTACGCAAACTCCTCCACCAGCACAGACTTACGGACTGCTGGAGGGCGACACATACGACAGACAGGGACTACACTTTCTATTCAGCCCCAAACGACTGTTACACAAGCATAGACTATTTTTTCCTTCCATACTGTTACCTACCCAGACTACAGGACTCCGCCATAGGGGGAACGATGTGGTCAGACCACGCACCACTCACGATACAACTAACATCACCACTATACAAGCCTAAAACTACTACATGGCGGCTTCACGAAAACCTCCTATCTAACCCGCAGGTGGCCCAAGACATCCAACAAACCTTGACAAACTACTTTGCCGAGAACCCACCACAAGACACATACCCCCTCCTGACATAGGAGGCTCGCAAATGTGTGATCCGAGGGATCCTTATCTCGCACTCTGCCCTGAAAAAGGCAAGGAAACACACGATCCAAGAACTAACCACCAAGATAGGGAACCTGACACA